TTCCTGAACATTTATAGAGGTTGTAGGAAAAGTCACTTAGGAAAAAGTTCACATGCCAAAATGTTCTTACACAACTATTAAAGATATGGATGTTCATATATAAAATCAGTTTTAAGAACCACCAACTATTAAATTTACTTCAAGGCAGAATAACCACTTAGGCAACTTTTACTGTATTCTGGAAAGGAAAGGAAATTATTTATTTTGTTTAATATCCAGTCCACTTTTCCTCCACGAATTTAAGATGACATACAGTAAACGATTCTCTCTTCTACAGATGTTAACCTTAAAAGATTTGAGGTGTACATTGAATTGAGAAAATCCGATGGCTCAAGATCAAAGTCTCATGACCAATTTTATACTATTCCATGCTGTGACTGTTACCTGGGTATGGACATCAGGTGTTAAATTGGCAACCCTAAAGTAAACTTCTTGATAGGTTTACTACAATATGCAAAATGTCAGAACATATATGTTAACCATATGATTTAGGAGGAATTAAAAGAAAGATTATGACAGCAAGTACTGTATTATCTGGCAACTCTAGTAGCATTTGAAAACTCTTGCCTCAGAGTCTGGAGAAAAGCTGCCAATCAATGCATTACGCTTGACTAGATGGATCAATGAATAATCTGAAGATGTTATATTGCAACTATCTCATCTCTGCATACTTCTTCAGAAATATAAAGACATTCTATGAAAGACATCATACTTTGCTGATTTATTCTCATGTATAGCCTTAAGCTTTGAGAATTGAATTACTGATCTATGTTAATTTTATTTAATGCTAGATCAGAGGAGAAGGAAACAATCCATCCCCGACTCACTAAAGTCATTTGATGACATATGCTGTCAGATACAAATAGTCCTTGATGTATAACCATTCGCTTAACAGTGTTTGGAAATAATAGCATCTCAGACAAGGTGCTTTACAACCCATAAAGAACTTGCAACCACTGGAAAACATCACACTAATCCTCTCACCACTCACATAATAGTGCTCTAGGTAATCTGTTCATACTTACATATGGATTGCCAAGTGTCCCATAATCAAAGGATTGCCCATTGCAATCTCCTCTGCTGTCTTACCCAGAAAGTCAATGGGGAAACCAGCAGAGAATGTGGCAAGTTGCTACCACCTGCTGAAAAGATTCTTTCTTGTGAATGGAACTAGCTCAAAGAGCTGCCTGTCCAAGGATTTTAGCTCCCTAGGGATCTGCTCCCCAGGCATGGTGGGGTAGGTACTAGGTCCAGAGCTGTGGCAGGTTTCCATATGTTTGTGGATGCTGCAGCTTGCAACAGGCCTCCCAGGGCCTCCCCGCATCCCATGAGGCACCCCTGCACTCTGCTTAACATCTTGTGCGACTGCTAAATCACCAAAACTGGTAGTCTGGGATTGCAATGGTTGAACAAAGCAGGTTTGTTAAGGACTATTGTACATTGAAGAAGCTAGTCAGCTGTCAGCTGCTCATCCAACTGCCATAATCAGGAAGGCTGTGAGAAATTGGAGAGTATGGACACTAACAAGAACCAGAAGTGCCAAACCAAGCCATCTGCCAAGCTTCAAGGATGCCCATCCTGGGAAAGGAATTTACACCAGTGTCTGAAGCACTAAGTCCCCAAAACATCGGAATGAGACCTGATTGGACTGCTCACCCAGGGGGAAGGGTTTTGGACACTGGGGATTGCTTTCAGTGTACAATTTGAGCACTGTTTTTCCTCAGAGCTTCCCTCATCCATGCTGCATTCAGCATCTCTAGTAAAAGTACCTTTTCTCTAGGGAATCAAGGGCTGATCTTTCCTAGGGAGTAGCTAGGGCCAGACTGAAACTAGGCAAGCTCTGCTGTAGTAGTCAGTCAGGAGACTGGTCTACTGAGGGAACTGAGAAAAAAATGACAAGCCACAAAAGCGGCCTGGGGGAGGCTGGAACTCCAAACTGCATCACCCCCAAAGAGGAGCCCGAATGACTGAGGAATGTGAGCATCGGTGAGGAAGCCCCAAAGCCCCATTGCTCATTCACCCTGGGGGTAAAGGAGGAAGAAAAAGTCTTCGGCATAACATATACCTTGGGAAGCTATGGGCCAGGAGATGGGAGCATTGCAGAGGTTGGGGCAAAGAGGAATTCACAGTGGAGCTGGATGAACAAGAAGACCTGGTGGAACAAATCTGAAGAGTGTTGAGAGAAGCCTTTGGGAACTGGCGGGCCAAAGAACTCCTTGCCCAGCTAACAGAGTCTTGATCGCCATGGGGCTGGTGGGAAATGGCGCCACAGTGCAGGCGGCCACAATGGGATGAGCAGCAGTCTCACCTGGACTTGTTCTGGCCTAGGCAGCTACGCCACCAGCTGCTCAGGCAATGTAGCCCCTTCCCAAGGGGGGGGGGCTGTCCTCCTGAGACAAGGGATGATGACACCTCCCGCCCTGGGATTGAAATATGCAGGAAACCCAAAACAATTGGGGTTTTTTCTTGAGCAGGTAAAGTAGTAAAAGTACCTTTTCTTGAAAGCTATGGAGTTAAAGGTCATTTTTTTTCTAGGGAAAAGCTGGAGCCAGTCTGACACTGAATCACCTTATGGTTCAGTGGAAGTGCCAGCATTGAAGCAATTATAGTCCTAAATACTATTTTTTTGTTTGTACTTATATTGCTAAAATTCTTCTACTAATAAATAATTGGAAATCAATGTTTCAACCTAGGTGAAAGCCTGTTCCAGTTAAACATCCTTTCTGATTGGTAAAGAATTGGTAAAGAAAAATAAAGTGTTCTTCTTCCAGATCAGTAGAATTTCAGATTGACCCAGACTGACTGGCTGGATTTACCATTATGCATTTTGGCATTATGAGATGTAATGATTGTTGTATTAAATCACATTTAAAAAGGGATGGATTACATACATGATTTTAGACTTCTGAGATTGCCCTTGTGCTCATGGCATTAAGTATTATAATAGTTTCTAATTATTTGATTTTAATAATTAAATAATTGCATCTGTGTATGTGGACAGTATGTTTGAAAATATTTTTTATTTAATTAATGGAAACTCATTTTCTAGTGTTTAATTTTATAAGCATAGTTCATGTGGCAAATTATGAGTTCAAAATTATTTTAATAAAATAAATCTAGATTATATAGTCTTGGATTCATTTCTCTAATAGCCTTACAACCAATATTACTAATTAAAGAAAACTTGTAGATTAATAGGGAGTTTAAACTGTTACTTTATACAATTTTGTTTCTTTCTAGTTTTTATTTCTGTAAAATCTACATGTCCTGTGTTTTGAACATATAATTCCAATCACATGATGCATGTTATACTCATAAAAGTTTAATTTTTAATTAATAATTTGTTATGATTTTCACTGTAAGGAAAAAAAACATTACAATATCTTTAATATATGATAAATTAAGGCCAGTTGATCTTAGCCATGTGCCTATCCACAATAAGGGAAGAGAGAGATTTTAAGTTTCTGAATGATGGATTACCATGGACCTGGATGAGTGCATGCTGCTGGATGTGGAATGGCCCCCATAGAAGAACTATAAAACAGAAATACAAAACATATTAAAATAATCAGTAGGTAAAATCAACAAAATATATATAAAATAAGTATGCATTAAAAAAGGGCAAAACTCAAAACACTTGTTTTCCCTTTGTTAATGTCTGCTAGATGATTACATTACTGTACTTTCAGTAGTATTAGAGAAAACTGAATATTTTCATTGTGCCTAATGAAAATATATTCTATTCTGTTTGATACTTCTGGATTTTGTGTCCAATACTGTTACTGAGAATATTGATGTACCAAATAATAAATGAAATCCACAAACTTTAAAATCTGAAGCGAATTTGCAATAAAGATCAAAATCTTGACCTCTGCCATATACCATGAAGATGCATGCAAATGCAATGTTAAAGACCAGGTTATTGCGAAAATTGAAGTTAATGGATCACTTTGCTAAAAATGCAAGGATTAAATAAAATTAATCATATATGTATATGTTTTATCCATGATGTAAATCCTATGAATCTTCTAGGAGTGCAACGGTATAAAAAAGTAAATCATTTCTGAGAAATTGCTTTCTCTTTTTTCTCTGCAAATACCAATTTGGTGCATCTTTTTCATGGATTTTAAATTTACAGAACCACAGAGAGGAATTAATTTTCCTCATATTTTAATTCTAGTTTTGCATGTTCTCCTTGCTGAGCTACTAATTGCTAAATGCAAAACGGAAAGACTAGATTCCTGGAGAGTAATTTGAGAAGATCTATGAGATCAAACAATAGTACTAGGAAGATGTTAGGCTTTACTGAACTACCATAGAAGTTGACTGCAAATCTAAAATACTATTTCTAATTTTTGGAAAAAGGCCAGGACACAAATATATTAACAAATCACCAATTTGCCACAAAGCAATGGTATCTGCATGCATGAAAAACGAGGGTCAAATAGATAAAAGCAGGATCACAATGCAAGTGTTCCCCCTTTTCTGTATCATTCTAGCAAAGGCAATAATTGCCTCATATGGTCTATTTTGGCCTTGGAAGGGCTGTGAATAGGTAAGTATAAGTTCCGTCCTCAAAAATCCAGTTTGGGGATTTTGGAGCATCCCATGGTGAAGGATGAAAGAGGCATTCTACTTATTCTTTAAATACTAAAGTTTGTAGAAATTTATAACAAAAGATACATTAACTATATAAGTCTTCACCATCCTTCTCTAAGTCAGTTCATTATTATTATTAAAATTTACATATCACTTAACTCCCAACAACTCTGGGAAGTACACAAATAAAAATTCGTTTAAAATGAAGATAAAGCTAAGTAAAACTTCAAAATTCCAAACTTGGATCTGTAGTACTCCTTTTAAGTGTCCTGACTTCCAAAAATTCATTCTTTTACAACCACTCCATCCCTCTAATCAGTTTATACTATAATGCAATAATACTTGTAATGGAAGACTTGTAATGGAAAATTATTCACAGCAAACAGTTAATATACACACATTACAGAAAAGTAGAATATAACTTGGGCACATATATTTTGAGAATTTTTTTTAAAAAGAGCATTACTTAAACATCTAAGTAATGGTGTTATAGGAAAAATAATTCTAGGTAGAACTGCTTTCTAAAAATCACAATTAGGCTGGGATAAACAATTTCTAAACAATTGGACTTTGATGTAGGAAAAAATGACCTCAACATATAACTATTTGTTTAGTGGTTGTTCGAAGTTATAACTTCACTGAAAAAGGTTACTTATGACTGTTTTTCACACTTATGATTGTTGCAGCATCCTCACGGTCCTCTAATCAAAATCTAGATGCTCGGCAACTGGTTCCTATTTATGAGGGTTGTAGAGTCCTGGAGTCCTGGGTTCCCCTTTTGCGACTTTCTGTCATATGATCACTGTTTCAACATTCTGGCAAGAAAAGTCAATGGGGAAGCCAGATTCAACCATGATACTAACTTAATAGCTGCAGTGATTCACTTAACTGCTGTGACAAGGAAGGTTGTAAAATGACAAGGAAGGGGGCAAAACTCATTTAACTACTATGTTGCTTATCACAGAAATTTTGGCTCACTTGCGATCGTGTCGACGACTACCTTTAGTTAAAAGGCAGAAGATGCCAAGAAATGTCAAATTCAATTCTTGAAGTTCTCTGGGTAAGACTGGGTAGATCTTGTTTGAAATCTGTCAGTCAGTATAGATAATATTATTGGGCAAGATAACCAACCCCAAAGACCATTTTCTTTATTCCCTTGGGGGGGTATGCCTAATAATTGAGACAGCGATTCTAAACAGTGTAAAAAAAGTTGTGAATATTTATTATGTTAATTATAATTATTAAAATATTAACATTATTATGTTAATATTTATTTCCACTATCAATTTGAAGTAAGGAAAGTAGTAGTAAAAACACATAGCAAACACAGCCTCCAAGAGCTTCAGGTGGCTGAATCTCTACTTCTCAGAGAGTCAAAAGACAACAGGAATTATTGATAATCCTGGCTTGTTAATTGTCCCTAATCCTACACATGTCTTTCTAGTCATCTTTACCCTTTACATGTTTAAATGTAATGAAACGGCACTGAGAAAATTGCTATTATAGCATGCTGGTGCTGCTATGCTACAGTAACAAATTACAAAAATATTATAGATTCAAGAAAACAACCTTGAATTAGTGACTCTGAAAACAGGATGGAGCCCACATAAGCAGAGCAAGCCCATAAAAGCTTCATATTACACATGTGCCGCATAAACATATATTAGTAATTTTTAGTTTTGATATTTTATTGTGTGCATTTGCAAATGCAGCTGAGAGATACCACAGAAAAGCATGCAGATTTAACAGCTTCCTGTGCATAGATAGATGATGGTTCATTTCACCTGTTCATTACTACTTAGTCTCTTATGTCTCTAGAAAAAGGGGGAAAAACATTGTCAATAGTTACATTAATAATGGTATAAATATTAAATAGTCTAGGATTATGAATATGGGCAGTACAACAAGTGCAACTTGCAAGTTATTACTATTATTTCAGAGATATATCACAAGTACTCTTCTTTTACAAAGTATTTGTAAAATAATGGTAAATGGTAAATTTCCCTTTTTTAATTGCTCGTGCAATATTAAGCATTGCTCCAGAAAGCCCATCACCCTGATGAGACTGTGATCAACGGTGGCATTCTTCTATCATCATTGTCACTATTTCAATTTTTCACATTCATTTCACAAGTCCTCGGGTAAATAAATTTGGTCTAGTGGTTACCAACCTAGAAACCAGGAAACTGTTGAAAGCTGGCTGGGTGACTTTTGGCTAGTCACTCTCTCTCAGACAATCGCATTCCACAGGGTTATTGTGGTGGGGGAAATAGGAAGAGGAAATAACATGAAGTGTGTTTAACCCCTTGAGTTATTTATAAAAATAAAAATAAAAACAAAACAAAAAATGGGACGTAATAATACATAAATAAATGTTCCATTTTTATTATTTTTATAAATAACTCAAGGGGTTGAACCCACCTCATGTTCTTTCCTCTTCCTATTTCCCCCACCATGTAAATAAAGACCTATGGCAACATTGGTGTAGTGGTGGTGGATGCCAAAACTAATATACAATCCTGGGAGCCCAGGAAAGATATATACAAAAATTAAGCAATGTTCAATGGTCAAAGTTACTGATGGGTTGTTACCACCATAAAGTAATACCGTGTTTCCCCCAAAATAAGATCCTGTCTTATATATATATTTTTTGTACCGAAAAAGGCACCAGGTTTTATTTGGGGGGATGTCATCCATTAACTAACTTCACTTGCATGCATCACCCCCGGCCTCTTTTTCACTGTGAGAGGCCTTCAGGAACTTTTTCTTTTGCAGCCAGCAAGGCCTTCCTAAAGGTCTCTGCAGTCAATAACAGAGCTCCGGATCGATCTGGAGCTTTGTTATTAGTTACAGAGGCCTTCAGGAAAGCCTTGCTAGCCTTGCCAGCTACAGAAGAAATGGGCTGGCAAGGCAGGTGTCGGGATGTGTGAGGCCTGGCTACAACTATCCAAAGGTATCCAAACTATCCAAAGTAGGGCAGCTCCACCCACCCCCCATTCCCACCCTAGCTTAATTTTTACCAGTGCATTCTGGAGTGGGCGGGATCTTAATTAGGGCTTATTTGGGGGGTAGGGCTTATATTGGGCACACATGTAAAAACCAGGCTAGGACTTACTTTCAGGGTAGGTCGTATTTTGGGGGAAACAGGATAGTTTTCTGTCTTAAGGTGTTTAAAGAGAGCTGTGGTGGTGCAGTGGTTTAGAATGCAAAATTGCAGGCTAATGCTGCCCAAAGCCCTGGAATTTTGATCCTGACCAGCTCAAGGTTGACTCAGCCTTCCATCCTTCCAAGATGGCTAAAATGAGGATCCAGATTGTTGGGGGCAATATGCTGACTCTGTAAATCACTTAGAGAGGGCTGTAAAGCACTGTGAAGCAATATATAGTCTAAGTGCTACTGCTATTACTAAAAGCTAAGCAAAGAAGAATCATTGTTCACCTGTTTCATCTCACTTTTCAGTCTTGTAATGCCACTTCTTTCTGTCTTTGTTGCTCCAGTGTGATCCACTTCATGGATAGATATAGCAGGGCTGGATGTAGAAGAATCAAGAGGACGCACTGAGGATGGAAAAGAAAGGAAGACACCATAAAATTGTTTAAATACACAAGAGAGTTTTTTAAAATAAGAAAACAAGAATTGTGTGTGTTTGTGTGTGTATACAAGTGCGCATATGTGAATATATTACTGCTCCTTTCGACTCCAAATTCTTTTCCACTGAGAATATGATGAAGAAGATTTTTCATATCAAAGGGACTCAGATTCATTAAACTTTCAGAGGCTTCTTCACCTGTAGGGGAAAAAAATAAGGCCCTAAATTTCAAGGGCAAGTAAACTGAATGAAAACATATTGTCGAGATCATTCATTTTGCAGGAATAAAGTTGTTATTGCTCAGCTTAGTAAAGGTATGATACACATTGCTATCAGTCCCTTATTGTGTAAAAATAAATAGCTGATGCAATTCTTTTCAAGAAGATAATTTTAACAATTTTTTCACTATTATCCTGCCCATAATTCCATCATCAAAAAAATCACGTTATGCCCATGAGGCAAAGTACTAATCTACCCCCTCCCCTGATCTAAATCTGTATCTCAAAATAGTATTTCACTTTTAACACCAAGAGCTCAGCCTTTTATTTCGCTATATAACAAAAATATTTCCTGTACTGAAGCTTTTCTTGGACTGTTTCTGAAAATGGAATTTGGGGAACATGGTATCATCCACATATGTCCCAATACAAACTATTTAACTTGACTGTTTTATTACACAATCTGTTGCAGTCTTTGTCAACCACGAGAAGCTGTAAAATACAGGGATAAGTAGCCAACCTATTGATTTTTTCTTTTCTTTTTTTTATGGTAAAACTATGAAACATAAACATGACACATAGAATAGCTTTCCTCAAATTGGTGCTCTCTTGTGTATGGATTGCAAATTATTTCTAGTTATGCCTTGCTAATCTGGGAATTAAAGAAGCTGTAGTCTGTGGAAGAGAATATCTGGTTGCAAAGATTCTGCAGAGAAAAAAAAATGAGCTTGTAATCCTGTGCATGGTAAATCCTCTCTAGGGGTTATGAGGAATTTCAATGCAATCCATTAATGCATTTAGCTGCAAACTTATCTGGATATTGAAAAAGAAGCCATATTTTCCGGATGAAAAACCTTAAGTTCTGTAGCAGTTATTATATAATCACTGAATTGTTTTTATCTACGTAATAACTATATTAAGACCACTGCCTTTGTTATAACTCTAGCCATTATATATCTGTACTCCAGGTTATAATAGGTTATTTATTTGTTCAGAAAAACAACCACTAGGCAAATATAAACCAAGCAATAGAAATGTCATATTTTATAACTTGCTTGAAATTATATTATTTGAAGAAGGAACTTAGAAAATTAAACAGGGAAATTGATTCTGAGTGTAATCACCATTTGATCATATGCTCATGAGGCAAGTACAGGCAGTATCAAGGGTTCCCCAAAATATCTTGTTAATTAACAGTGTTAGCTGACAAAAATAAAAACTATCTACTGTATTTACCGGACTATAGAACACATCGGAATATAAGCCGCACCCACTAAATTTTAAAAGAAAAAAATATTTTACATATATTAGCCGCACCAGACTATAAGCCACAGATATATACGTTATGAAATGAGATATTTACACAGAAAGAGAAGAATGCTCTTTGCATGCGGCCAGACATCTCCAACGTCTCACCATTGATTCATTAACGCCAAGCTTACGTGCAGCAGCTCTATTTCCTTCCTGGATAGACAGATCGATTGCTTTCAACTTAAAGCAACTTGCATCATATGCTTTTCTTCGTGTAGTTTCCATCATGAGGGTGTGAAAAATATTTTGCGTTCATGCGTGTCGTGCTGCTTACGTCGAGTGTGCCAAAAACTACCAGTAGCGTCTTCTTCTTTGCATTGACCTCTTGCGTCTATCATGTTTTTGCGCCCCCTGATAGCAGTTAGCGAAGAAAAATCTATAGATAAGCCACATTGTTGTACAAGCCGCAGGGTTCAAAGCGTGGGAAAAAAGTAGCAGCTTATAGCCCGGTAAATACGGTATTACCTATGAGTGTATTACTCCCTTAACATGCTTACTACTGACCTTTACCCATAATTTCCTCTTGTTTTGGAAGTGCTTTATTTCCTTAATTATGTTTTACTCCTTTTCGTTATACTTATTATATGCAAAACTGCTATTGCCATCCATCTTCTCACCTCTGAAATACACTTAAAACCCCCTCTTTTATTCCAGAATAATAGGAAAGAGAAAGTAGCTTTACCCGAACAATTCAAGTTGCGAGCAAGTTCTGTGGCCATCACTTGAATAATGAGCCCAATGCGGAGTCTGAGCATTTCTGCAAAGAGACTGGGTTGTGACCGGACATACATGGCCAGGTACACTATAATTTCCTGTCAGGGTTGCGGAAGAGAAGAATTGATTTTAGAGATCGCTATCACACACGATACACAATAGCAATAATAAAATAATTTCTTTTTTTATTTTTTCTTTCATATTACCTGTGTGAGGACTGCAATGCTGATATCCTGGCCACAGGCTTCATATATTAATTCAGTCAGCTTTTCAGGAGGCAAAGGCCTACAGAAATTGAATTTAATTAAAGGCATAAGTAAAACTCTGTCAGTGACTCTATAGCTATTTTTCAAGCTTAGCTTGATAAATTATTCTCCCAAGACTGTAATTTTTATTAGAAGGCTAGCATGGCAGGCTGTATTGCTTGGTTTTAGTCTTTTGGTCCTCTAAATGACTTGCAAATTACAACAGTGGTATTGCTAATGAAAAAGAGCAGTTTTGCTATTATATATTTTAACAAACTGGCTAAGATCCTGTATGATCTCAGATATGACTCATGTTTCCCAATTAATACTTTTACTACTAAAAGTACTTTTTAAAAATCTTAGCATAAAGCTGTCAAGAAGTATGAAAAATAAGACATTGGTTTAAGATAAAGAGATTCACATACGCTGTAATTGTTTTTTCACGGGGCTCAGGCGGGAGGCCAACTGTAAGTTGCTTCTGGTGGGATAAAAGATCTGTACAGGCCTGGCACACAACAAAGGAAAGGAGAAAGTTCAAATTATTAAATAAGTAGCAAGTGCATTACACTTAAATTTTGAAAAATTGGTTCAGTCATTCCATATCACTGTCAAATCCAAATTCTTCTATATCTGAATCTGATATAGAAAAACACAATAAGGTTATCTCTCAATGTTTTGTAGGGAGGTCCAGCAAAAGAAGCAACCAAATGCAGGTTTTTGTTCTTTATGAAGTTAGACCTACTGGAGAAGTATGCACAGGAACATGCTTTCCTGTTCCCTTGCAAGTGAGAAACAAGCATTATAGAATTTTTGCTCTACTAATGTGAGCTTCTCAGATGATGCAGTATCTGGAAAATCAGTGTTCAAACATACTTTGGGAGCTTACTTCTGGAATGATCTAAAAGGCAGTTCAGTATGCTCGGTCATTATGGAGAAGCTACATGGGCACCTAGATTTTAAGAAAGTTATTTGAATTCATATGCTGCCAAATACCTGCACAGGGCTTATGTCAGGGGTGTCAAACTCAAGGCCTGCAGGCCACATCTGGCCTGTGGGGTGCTTAGATCTGGCCTGGAGGGCTGGTCTTGAAATAGCAAAGGACTGTCCCGTGGTGCCTCTGCTAGGAAAAATGGGGCACGGGCAGGGTGCGTGCGCACCCCCACAACAACTTTTGGCCTCTGGATTTCTCCAGGAAGCCTTCCAGGCCTCTGGATTTCTCCAGGAAGCCTTCCTCCGAAGTGCTGCGGGAGGCCTTCCAGGCCCAAAACAGGCCCAGAAGGTTATAAAAGGGAGGAAAAGTAAAATACTTTATCTTTCAGTCTTGCAGGATTCTGCTACTGTAGCCTATGTCAACAATTTTGTAGTTCTAGTCTTCCTATGGAGTCAGTTTCTTAATGTGGTCTCTCTCTCTCTCTCTCATAAGGTGATCAAGTAGATCAAGTATTAAAAAAACAAAATCACAGAAATGTACACCTCCCTATTTTTGTAAATTTATAAAACTATGTCTGCAGAGATGTGATCCCTTGTCACTCCCACCATGGCCACACACCCCATGGCCATGCCTCTGCTGGCCCTCCAAGGTCAAACCCAATCCCGATGTGGCCTTCAATGAAATTGAGTTTGACACCCCTGGCTTATGTCATACAACATAAATATTTCTGGAACTACAAGCTCTATGGTACTTAAATTCCACATGTCTTCTAGAGCAACCAGGTTTCATAAGTTTCTGGAAGGCCAGGAGAATATTTTTATCCCAGGGACAAGTGTTTCAGAGCAAACCAACCCCAAAGAAAATACCCATATTTTTCAGACTATAAGATGCTCCGGAATATAAGACACACCTAGCTTTTAGGGAGAAAAATAAGGAAAAAAAAATCTGCTTCTGCCTCCCAGCAATTTGCCTCCTTGGATTGGTGGCAATAGGAAGTGGTGGAAATTCCCACCGCCTGGAACAGGCTGAAAACAGGACATGTGGAGGCCGAAAATGGGGCACATGGAGGCAGCGATTGCGATGGCGATCCCCGCAGCCCAGAAAAGCTGATCGTCGGTATTCTGGGAGGCTGATCCAACCACCAAACAGTTGCTCATGCTAAATAAGGCTGTGCTGAAGCTGACCAGGCTTTTTGCTGTTTGCTGCAAGGAGGCAAATTGGTGGGAGGCAGAGGCCGAAGGGTGAGGGCCGGCGGGTGGGCGGGGCTTCAGCAACATTTGCTCTATAAGACACACAGACATTTCCACCCTTTTTGGGTGGAAAAAGTGTTTCTTATAGACCGAAAAATACGGTCTATTAAAAAAAAAAACTACTTCTGGCCATTTGAACAGGGATTCTCTGTAGGACCTGAGTGCATGCAACATGGGCAATCTTTTTTTAAAATTGCTTTTCAAGGTTGAGAGAAACTGAAATGGAAACAATTTATTTGATGCATACCTCAGCCAGGACTTCAACTTTCTTTTTCAATATGCCAGAAATATAACGGATGAGCCCCCATTCTTGGTTTACACCTGCTTTGCTGTACAGTTCGTTGAGGAGGCAATGAACTGTGACTCCAGACTGGCCATAGAGCTGTGTTTCCCAATCAAGACCTCTTACAAAACAAAAAAGTATCATGATGGTTATATGTCCTTTTTTTTTTTTTAAAGGAATTATAGGTAGTCCTTGTTTACTGACTCAGTTGGCTCTGGGGAAATGGACACTAGTCAACATGGTTACTATGTAACTCCCATGAGAGAGACACAGAGAAACAAATAGACACACACACACACACACACATGGAGAGACAGAGAGACAAGGAGGGAGGGAGGAGAGAGAGATCGATCACTGTTTGTTGCTGTTCAAATAGTTCTCTTGTACAGGTAGTCCTCAACTTATAACAGTTCATTTAGTTACTGTTTGAAGTTATAATGGTACTGAAAAAAGTGACTTGGGACCATGTTCACACTTGCAGGTCCTCATGGTCACATGACCAAAATTCAGTCTCTTAGTAACTGGCTCATATTTATAATGGTTAAAAAGGGATCGTGTGATCATCTTTTGTGATTTTTGACAAGCAAAGTCAAGGACATTGTTAACTGGAAGTAAAATAATCAATATTAACAGGAATTTCAAGATTAGAATTTCAAGCATGATAGAAACAAATGGCAACCTTACATAAAAATTAGTACAGCTGAATATTTAGTTTTCTGGAACATCATTTTTAAAAATAAATTAACTGCCAACAGGACAGAAAAGGAAACTTACTTTATTAGATATAAGACGTATAATATATCAGCCTGGTCATGTAATGTAGGGCATTCTGTTAGCTGCCCAATTAATTTCTCACAATCCAAATCACCATGAGCATCCTTGGGCAAATGAAGAGCAGTCTTACATTCCTATTAATCAAAACAAAGTACAAAACATTTTTTGGAGTTTTGTAGATTAATTTTCCAAATAAAATTATTTGATTTTCCAAATCAAATAAAAATTTATTCAAACCCCCCAAATGACAAAAGTCAAATATATAAGGATACATGGTAGAATATTAGTCATGAGTGCTCATTAGTCATGAGTGTAATATATTTAAGCATTCCTATAATGATCAGATATCTAATATGTTTCTCTATTATTCCCTATTTGTTTAAAAAACCTCGGGTCACACCAACTTTTTTAAAAAAAATAAAATCCCTTGTAAATCACAAATTACACATGTATTTTTACTGACTCAAAAAACAACGTGGGTTAGCTGATGTGTGTCTGAAAACTTGGTATATACATTGATGCTATGAAACTAAGACTAGTTAGATTTTATAAGATAAACATTGGCAATTAAGTTCCAGTCAGTTGAGACATAAAAGAACATAAATTTTGAAAGACAACCTCCAAAATAGCAGAGATGTACAATTTAAAGGCTGTATTTCTGTATCTGATTCCTAACATCCTCCACTATTATTGCCAGATTCCAATAGCTGGTATCAAATAGCAGTTCTTAACATATTATTAAATCATGACTGACCAGTAATTGGCATAATAATTTTATTTTGTTTTACTTATATTTTAGTATGAATAATGATAATCAGATTGAATAGTCACTATTCCGATTATCCATTACTTATGCATTCATAAAATGGCACTCAAATGCCACATAAAGCTACCTAGCAAAAGTGGTTCCCTTTTGGCATCATGGGCTACCTCACTATTTTTATATGATTAGGTCCCATATCTGAGTGGGGCCAGAGAAAGAGGATATAATCAAAACATAAAATAGTTTATCAAACAAACATTTCTCCATCCTATCCTTTCTTAAAGCCATTAAATTTAAACTTACAGCTGCTGTGTGAAACTCTATCTTTGTTCTAATTGTACATCTTTGACTTTGATAAATGAATTACAGTAATTTATATAATTGGTAAGTACAATATTTTCCAAAAGAAAATAATAGAACTGCTTACTTGACCCATTTGTGGATGAGGGGAGTCAACTAGGTTCAAAGATTTCCGATGAGTGTTTAAAACCTTTGTAGGCAAGGTCATTGAAACATCTGGGAAAAAATAATGTAAAAACGTTTTAGAGATCTGCTACTGTACAAATCCAAATGTTGCTGGAAATCAAAATATAAATGATACTGAGGATCAATTAGACAATATAAGGAAAATGAGTTTAAAGAAACTCCAAATACCATTTACAAGAAAAGCTGGCTTGTTATGGAGTAGTTTGCATTATTGAAAGAGGAGAATATATTGTCTTTTCTAAAGTAGTTTTCATAAAAAGAAAAGCTGGATGAATTAAAGTTTGGTTACACATATCTGTAACTTCTATTTAAATTATTATCAATGTTGTTCTGCCTAGAGAAAAAAATATGCTATCACTTAAGTTCAAATCCAGAAAGATATATTAACATGACAATATTCCTGTATTAGCATAATAGCAATAATTAGCAATAATAGCCAAAATGTTAATTCCTAAATGTATGAAATGTATGGACATGATTATTTCATGTCCCTATGTGATATAAGAATGTACAAGGTTGCACCTGCAGATTTGTCTAGGACTTTTATGTCCTTATCTTACTGTCACAGATTCTGACATACCATGTTATCCAGGCCAGAAACTGTGATTCATAACAAATTCTAAACTGATATTTGCTTTTTAAATTTTACATGTTAAATTACCCAAATTATAACTCACATTCTCTCCTCAGATTCAAGGAACTTGGAGTGAGAAACTGCTGAAGAGAAAAGGAAACGGAAGGAGTGCCAATTCTAGAGGTTCATTTGTCCCTGGCTTTCTCAAAGTGGTAAATCATGGCAGTTTTATTTACTAACAGAGCCATATAATTTCACAAATATTGAACTAGGAATTGTTATAGTTTGTGCTCAATTTTGTCCTGATTTTCCCTTTAATTTTAAATTTTAGCACTTCATAAATAAAGAACTTACCTAACCAGGAAATCTTTGTCTGTAGTCAAAATAATCAGAGGAAATATTTCTGAATGTTTAATTAGTTGAAATTTTTCTTTCTCCACCTTTATCACAATGTACAGGTGGTCCTCAACTTACAACGTTCACTTAGTGACTGTTCAAAGTTACAATTGGCATTGAAAAAAATGACTTATGACTGTTTTTCATAGTTACATCATTTTCAGCATCCATATGATCATGTGATCAAAATTCAGATGCTTTGCAGCTGGTTCATATTTATGACCATTGCTGTATCCCAAAATCATGTGATCTTCTTTTGCAACCTTCTGAGAAGAAAAGTCAAGGGGGAAGCCAAATTGACAACAACCAGATTACTAACTTAACAACTGCAGTGATTCACTTAACAACTGAGGCAAGAAAAGTTGTAAAATGAGGCAAACTTTGCTTAACAAATGTCTCACAATTGTGAGACCCAATTGTGGTTGTAAGTTGATGACTACCTGTATTTTGTTGCTTAAAATAACATGATTCACAACCTGCTCTATTAATCTGTGAATACAGAACTCACCAAATGTTGGATTCTTATTTCTGTCTGTACTTAACAGTGACACTTTTTTCTAACAATTTGTGACCAACTAGGCAAATTTCCTGATAGGTATGTATCATGATACTGTCTGTTCTATTAACTATTCCTACAGATACATGAAAATAAAGTCTTATTTTTCATAAAATGTCCTCTAATCTTATTGAAATAAGTATATTTCAGATTTTTGCAGTAGCAAGACGTCAGCATTTACAGGCATTCCATCTGTTAAATGGTATAGATTTAAAGTGTTATAAAAACTTACTTGGAACATCCAGTCCCTTAACCTTGGCCATGATTGATAGTATTTCTCTAGTAGAATGAGCAGCACTAAACACGTAGGATGAGCCTGTGTCTTTTGTGAGTGAAGGTAAGTATGATTTCAGAGCAGTGCTCTGTAACATACTGTTTATGTACTGGTCCAGTTCATCGTGGCTTTCTGTCAAGAAATATTCAAAGAAAAGCTGTTTAAGTAAAGCACTTATGCCTCTGCCTAATTAACCTTATATTTTGTCATACACAGGTAGTCTTTGACTTTTGAGCCCAAAAATTTCTATTGCTAAGCATGACATTTGTTAAGTGAGTTTTGCCCCTTATTACAACCTTTCCTGTCACAGTTGTTAAGCAAATCACAGCAGCAAATCACAGAATCTGGCTTCCCCATTGACTTTGCTTGTCAGAAGGTCACAAAAGGTAATCAAGTGTCCGTACAACCATTATGATGGTTGTAGGGATACTACAACCATCATAAATATGAAGCAGTTGCCAAGTGTCCAACATGATCACAGGGATTCTGCAACAGTCATAAATGTGAAAAAGAGTCATAAGTCACTTTTTTCAGTGCTGTTGTAACTTCAAATGGTCACTCAAGGACTACCTGTACATCTTTGAGCAAGGCAAGAACTTTTGTTCTATGTAGCATTCTGATTTCAATTGCCATATCGAGGAGATTGATGGCATATACATTTAATAAATAAATCTTCAGACTTTATGAATACACACATAAGATATTAAAATTAGTGATTGCGTATACTCTCAATATTTAAGATTTTTATATTTTTCTAACTTTTCCAGCCTCCGTTTTTCATAAATAGATAGCCTCTTCAACTATTCTGCTATCCATTAAGTCCCAAATTATCTTTCAAAATATCCAGACATCCAGTCCGTCTGCAGTTAAACAACTTAAGCAACTTTGAACAAACCACACAACCTTACATGCTGAAATGTATTTTCTAATATTATTTTTGTAGCTTTTCCCTTTTTATTAATATTACTTATCAAATTATTTCCAAGTTGCTTTTTGGCCTGGCATGGACTTAATTTAAATTTTTAACAAAGCTTGAAAAAAATTAAAACAGAAAAAACGTATTTTAAAATAACAAAGAATTGAGGTAATTATAGTATAATTCATATAACTTATTTTATTATTAACTTATTTTATTCATATAACTTGTTTTAACTTATCTTTTAAAATCAAATGAAAGAACCTCTATGAATTCCTCAGAAAGATTTTTTCCACTGGTGTCATCCTAGAGAAAAGTTTTTCCATCTTTATGCTAATAAAGCCTTTCTTGATCCTTTCGAGTAGATCTTGGTTACAGATTCATTTGAGAGATTTGGGGGGGCGGGGGGTGCATTTAGGGGTATTATCTGTCTCCAAACCATCTGAGGATTTATAAGTTTATCTCAAGTTACAGTCAGAAATAAATTGACAGTTTATTAACATAATATAGTCAACAGACTCATATCAGAAAACAATCCAGTGTATGCATTTTGTACTTACTATAGCTCCTGAACTCTCATCCACATAATCTCAATTTAGAACATCTCATAATACTCACTAAGGCATGATTACTCTAACTACATATCCAGAAAGGGGGCATTCATCAAATGTGACCAAAATGGCTCTTGGTTACTATTTGCAAATAAAAGGAAAAGGTATCATTACCCTTATCACAGAAGTCTGCATAATCTTCTAGTTCATAGCCACTTTCAGGGCTAGAGTAGCCTTCACTCTCATCATCAAATAGCTTGCTGTCACAATCAGGATCCAAGAAACTTAGGTTTGTATAGAATGAAGTGGTCAGAAAGTCCGAAAGTTTGCCCAACTTCACTCTGGAAAAGAACAGATTGAAGAGGAAGAATATATATTTGTTACACACACACACACACACACACACACACACACACACACACACACACCTGTGCACATGTACAAACACACATACACATGCAGATACACACATATATACAGTACATATATGCATACTGTTTAAAAGAGATTCCTAAGTAACACACTGTTCAACAATTGATAAGTAATGGGTTTTTCACAATTAATCGAATCACATAAAATATGATAAACAATCATATTAAGATATACTGTTCTTTAGCCAGATGGTCAGGAAAATAAAGATGCCCATCATCATTGCATTTTCTTTTTCACTTTATAGAGTCATCTAACTTATGTCCTTGCATTAACTTATATTTCCAAACTTTGTATCAGACCCGCACCTAAATTATTCATTAACCCCTTTTATAGTGAATTTCTGGAACTTAAAAAGTATTTTAAAATATACCGACTACTAAAGTAGCAAATGTAAATACAAACAATCCAGCATTAATACAAATTGTACGGTAAAATCCAATCAGAAAAAAAACAAGGCAGAAAAGTTTTACCCAATAATAGAAAATAGGAAAAAGGAACTGTCTCAGTTACTTGTAATGCATATAATGCTCACCTTGCTCCTCCAAAATATCCATCTCCAAGCTTTCTTATGGTGGCAAGAATTGCAGAATCAATATCAGTCCCATCATCAACTAAAACAATAAATAAATAAACCAACAAACACATACTTACATATATTTTGGAGAAATATCTTTCACTTATGATTCACTTAAAAAGAAAATCCGGTATGAAAAATGTTGGTTTAAGCAGCACCTAACCTATATTATTTTGAGTCTTCCCTTCACAGATGAAGAAAAGCAGCAACATGCCATTTGTAAGCAATTTTATTCACCGTACAGAAACATATTACATATATGTTAAGCATGAGAGCTGAAAGCTTGAGCTCAATCGGACTATGGATTTTCCCAAGAGTGGGAGGAGGGACTATCATGTACTGTATATCATAACTCACTGCAAAAATTATTCAAATCCTATACTGCATATCTTGGGTTCATTGTAGATAGTTTGATAAAATTATTTACACAATGTGCTTTAAAGGAGACAAAAACCATGCTGGGGTCATTCAAAAAGGGATAAAAATCAACATGAACATATACAAATATGTATATCTGACAACATCTAGAGACCATATATATTTCTGACATTATAGGAGACCAGCCATATTAATCTATGGTGCCAAGATAATCAAGAGCCTGGCAGCACTTTTCAACTAACAAATTTTATTAAAGGTCATATCTTTCATGAGCTACATAAATGACCTATAGTCACAAAAGCTTATGACTTTTAATAAAGTGTGTTAATTGGAAATGGTGCCAAAAGACATCTGATAGTATGTTTCTGGTTATCAAAAGAAATACTGTGGAATTGGAGAAGATGGAGAAGATAATCAAGATAATCAGGGAGCTGATATACAGTATGACAGAATGCAACAGCTGGGATTGCTTAGTTTAGAGAAAAGACACTTATAAGGAGATATTATAAAATTATGCATTATAAGAAAATAGTGACACTTTTCTACATCACTCATAATACTGAAACTAGAAGCCGTTCAGTACAAATGACTGGTAGATTATTTAAAAGATAAATATTTCTTTATATAGCATGTACTAAATTATCTTGTGAAATATGCTGCCTTACCCAAACGCCAAAGATGTTGAGCAGCGTCTGCAAACTAAAGCAATATGACATTTTCCCTTTGCTCTTAGGAATAAGGAGATCATATGAGGCAATATCTGTTCTGGTATCTTTGTTAAAACAAAAGCACCTTTCAAAGCATTGCAGAAGTCTTCTTGGGAAAACCAAAGGAGGTTTTTGCACATGCACATCACTCACATAGAAACCTTATCTGGCTTTGATGAGCACTGCTGGAGAACACTAAAAAACATACTGGAAGATCAGCAACTCTTCCTACATTTTCCTCCAGCGCACAGTAGAGTTTTAATCTGGCTTCAGTCAGTGCAGCTGAAAAAACTTACAGCTCTTTCCTCTAGCCTTGTTGAAATCCAAAGTTAAGTTGTGAAATCAGTAAATGTTCAAACACTTTTTCTAACCTTTTCAGTACCAGAGATAAAAGAGAATATTTTAAGGCAACACAGAGTGCTTTATTGAAGCAAATCATATTGCCTCTTTGCTTTGATGAAGAAAATCCTGTTTCCCAGTTTTTTGTCAAGGAGACAATAAGTCACTTTACACAGCATTATGCTAAATTATTTGCAATGAGTATTTTATTTCTGTTAATTATATTATTTTAAACTGTTTCTTCTTCAGAAATCCAGACTAACAGCACTCCATAACAAAATCAATTTTATTTTCAATAGTAAAGCAATATTTCCAAAGATAATAATTTATTACTTTGTGTCTTCATGTTGGTATCAAGCAGGGAACATTGCTTGAAATTAAAATGCTAATATTTCATATGATATGAGCTTAAACTTTTATAAAAATACCAAATAAGTTTTCTTACTAACCAAGCATTGTATTAGTGACTGGGAAAGTAAGAGTTGGTCTTCCAGTCATTCGCCAACGGGAAGTTAGATAAGCCAACTCAGTTCGAAGCATTTCCACAATCATCCGATTGTCTAAAGCCAAGTAGAAGTGATGCTGATCTGTAAACTATAAGGAAATTCAAATTAAAAGTATTATGCATTTAGAGTTGTAATCCCAAATCTGACGTCTTCCGGATGTGGAGGATTACTCAACACTGCTGAACAGAGTATATATTAACATCAGACTTCTATGACCCTTTTCAACAGTAACTTTGATAGCTATAATATGTATGGCCTCTGTCTCAGTTTTCATCAATTCAAACTGGGACTGGTGTTTTAGTTAAACATCAATGGCCTAATTATAAGCATTCAACGTTTGATAACTTCACACTTGGTCCACTGCATTTTACATGGGATTCTCCCTGAAGATGCTATTGATACTAGTTACCACAACAATAAAATCAATAATTAGACTAGAAGACCTTCAAGGTCCCTTCCAACTTTGTTATTCTATAAGATCAACATTTATAGTCTTACAGTAAATCTACAAGGACTAGAATTTGGGACCAGAATCCCTCAAAATCTTCCTACTTCTAGGTAAATCTTAAGCTAGGACAGAGAAACATTTGAGCGATACAGATGCACTACTTCTGGTGGGATACTGGAAACTGGAAGGCATGATTCCAAAATTATCAGTTTAGTTTTGAGGGTTGCTCATGTTCATTTGATGGTTTAAGAATTTCAGGAATGGAACTAGGAGTTATCTATGATACAAGCCATTACCTTCTCAACTTAAAATAATCTCTAATTATTATATTTTGCTGCAGAATTTCAGTATATTGATCTTTAGATACTTAGGAGCCAGAAATAAGGTACAAGATTACATGAAGTATGCACACACTTGAACTTGGTGGGATTTTCTGTCTCAGCCTAATGTTACTAATGGTTATATTAGTTGTTTTATGTAAACCATAACATTTCTAAGATGATCATAAAATTTTAAATAATTGGCAAGGTTGTACTAACTAGAGCATACAATATAGAAAATCTATAATGTGTAACATTCATAAATTACAAACAGAAGAAAATATTCTTGATACTTCTCCATATTTATTAGCCAAAATATGGCTAATACGCAGGATACATCAAAGTATAAATTATTTAATTCTGTTCATCTTATTACATAACCACAGTTATGCACTAAAAGTTGTCAAAGAAGTAAAAGAATTATGGACAGGCATTTTATTATTTTTGGTTAATGGTGATAACCTAATGTAAAAACTAGAATCACTTGTCAGGCCAGATTACATCATAAATGCTAATAAATAAAATTGAAATTATTTAAGGAGAATTACCTACTTCTAAGCCTTACTCACAAACTTTCCACTAATTTTTAACGTGCAGCACAAGAGCAAACAACAAAACTTATGTAGTATTAATTTATTATTCCCTTTAGGCTTGTGCCATCGGCAAGACTAGGATTCTATAAGTGGGAAGTTAAAGTTTCTTAGTACTTCTACTTTGTCCTCCTCTACATAGTTAAACAAGTATTTTCATCAGTTTAACCTTTGTAATATCAGTTCCAAAAGCAACTAGAATAGAGCAGTAGGAAAGAGCCAATGTTCTTGTTGATATTTACAAAATTACCTGAGGGGTAAAAGTAAATATTTGGTTTCTTATGATATATAATTTGGATGTTCCCAGGACACCAATATGCCGATAAGGCCTCCCACTCAGTTTCATGTTCTTGTTACGCCCTAAATGAAGCAAACAAAAAAACATCCCAGAGTAATATTTGGTATCTACTTATATTTATCACATTCACATTTTAGAACTGCCAATCTCTTGTCATAGATGCACTCTATATATGGTATATTGTTATGCAATTCAAGCTAAGTTTCATCTCTAAAATCTGATACTTTAAGCAAGTTTGGCTGTATCCTTCAGAGCTGGAGACATGTTAGAAAAAGATGGATGCTAAGCTATAATTTAATTGTGGTTTGCTTTACAAGTAATAGTGACTTGGTTCACACATAAACCATAAGGTACAACAGTGTTTCTCAATCTTGGAAACTTTGTCTGAGTTCCAACTCTCAAAATTCTAGCATGTTGGCTAGGGAATTGAAATCCACATATCCTAAAGTTGCTAAGATTGAGAAACACTGAGTTACACTTTCTCCAATTTGCTTAAAATTATCAACTGAAATCAACACTGTCACTAGAGATTACCTAGTGTTGAATTGAATAGAATAATTGTTAGTTTATGTAGGTAGTAAAGGCACCTGGAATTCAACTCCTAACAGTTTTCTCGACAACAGTACAGAAATGTTTGTCCAGCCCATCATATATTCCTCAATCAATCCAACAGTTCATTTTAAATCAACCCTGGTGGTGTAGATGCTGCCACCCATGGGGGATGGACGGGTCTAGAAATTGAATTAGTGCATATTCCCTAACTCAAAAGGAACTTTTCCAATATAACTGTAAACTACCACTCAGTATGTTTATGGAGATTTCTCAGTCAGAACTGAAAAAGCTTCTTGGATGAGAAATGAAACATCTTCCTCAAGAAAAAAACAAAGTCCACTTGACTTTTGAAAAAGTACATATGAGACTTCCAGTCAATAAATAATACAGCCATTTTTTTTAAAGAAGGCAACCCAATTGCATCTTAACTACATTCCAATCCTGAAAAGAAACCGATCTGATAATGTTGTCCCCATGGATTCCAAGAGTGCTTTGGGGACTGCAAAAGAGTGCTTGACATCTACCCTACAGGAAGATCATTTTTGTGTTAAACCATGGAATGCTTTAATAGTTTGTTAAATATAAAGCAGAAGCCATAGAAGTTGCTATTTCTGTAAGAATAATAAAGCAACATCCAGGTACTTCACAATATATCTAGAAGAGAGGTGAGCCTTGTGCTGCCATGCCACATTGCCTCTTTTGTCATTCTGAAACTTGCTTCGCTGCCCCACTGGTGCCGATCCAAAATCAGACAAATTATATCATAGCTTAGCATAAAGGGTGAACCCTGCTTTTTTAATAATATAAAAGAAATACATTTATTATCACAGGGAATAACAATAGCACTTAGACTTATATACTGCTTCATGGTGCTTTACAGCCCTTTACAATGTCAGCATATTGCCCCCAACAACCTGGATCTTCATTTTACCAACCTCAGAAGGATGGAAGGCTGACTCAACCTTGAGCCAATGAGAATCAAACTGCCAAACAGCAGTCAGCCAGCAGTCAGCAGAAGTAGCCTGCAATACTGCATTATCACCACTGCACCACCAGACTCATAATGCAGTAATTCCTTTAATATAAGAGTACAATTGGGCTTTAAAGTCCTAAAAACACACAATTGTACTTCCTACAGTATACTGAAAACTGTTTTTATAATCCAGTACTGACTTCCAGTATTTTTTAAATAGCTTACTGAAAACCAATCATTAAAATTTATTAAAAGTGTCTCAGTGGCACAATGCTGGAAAAGTCCAATAAGATTACTCAGCTATTTTTTTAACAGCACCTACCAAGCTTAGCATAAAGATTACTCAGAATCCGAGATGGCTGCACTCTGGTGGGACTCAGGTCAACAATGCTTTGTGCATTAATTCCATGATGTCGTAAGAGTTTCTTAATTTCATTTGTTTCAGCTAGAATGGTTACTATTCAGAAAACAAAATGAAGAACCACAATCAAGGATGACAATTACTTTTATTTTTATGTGAATAGAGCACAATCAAAGAGGATCTTCAGTGAAAAATAAGATGTTTTCACTGAATTAGTGTTGGAGTAGTTTAAATAAATGGAGATGATTGCCTACTAGAATGATACTTTACTAGGTTTGTACTAAGCATTCTGAATGGCCTTATTATAAAACATGTTAGAACAGGCACAGCGCCTCTTCTCAATATATTAGCTGCTATAAAGATTGTCTCTAGTTCTTTACATGTGCATGTGTGTACTCAGATAACATCACGTCTAGCACAGCCAGCAACGCAAATGGACACCTGCAGGCACACACAGACAGGGATGCCTTTCGGCGAAGTTGGGTAAGCATCCAAGAATGCAGCTGCTTTAATGTTTCAAGGAGAGGGGCTTCACAAAACACAGTCCTGTACACCATCCCACCTTATCCAAAATTTTGGAATACATAGGTATTAAAAATTATACAATAGGAACATCTGGAGAAGTGGACTTAAAAATTCCCCTAAATAGATTTAAATTTATAAATAAATTTAATAGATTTAAATGTATTTAAAATTTTGGGTGATATTTTTATTATATGGGAGTTATCATAGTATTATTAGTGCTATTAATTTATGTGTTATTATATTATTAGTATTATTATCAATTAATGGGTTATCTATTATAGTATTAGCTATGGTTTTTGTTTCTTGTGAATGCTATACTCTGACAAAACGCTGTATTCAAAAATGTTTATGCATAAAATTATATTTCAAAAAATAATAAAAAAACAAAATGAAAAAAAAATCCCTAAAAGGCAGTTCCATTGTATAACTTAGTGAAGCCCTGCTCCTTTTGCCTTTGTGCTGGAACTGCACCCACATACAAACAGGAAAAGCTGTGACTGAGTGTTTGTGACTGTAACTTGGTCTTATAACCCTGACCCCGCTATGCGTCAAAACAGCCGGATTTTTTCCTGACTTTTGTACAAGCCTGCAAACAAGCTGCTGCTTTTACTGTAAGGAATTCATTCCTAAAACTATAATTCATTCATTAAAGCTATAATAACTTTTAAGAAGCAATACCTTCTTTCAATCCCATGTCTAAATCTGAGAGAGATCAGGCTACTTTAAAGAACAGCAAGTTGTACAAGGTCTGAAATGCTTTTTCTGAATCCTTATGAAGCCATTTTATAACCAAACTAGTTAAAACTAGTGACCATGTTTTATCAGACTGCTACCCATTTTTGCCCTTATTTTCTGCAGCTTCAATCCAGAATTGACTTTAGAAAGTCAATAAAGCAAAATAAAATGGGCAAAATTCATTTGTTAAGTAAGACATGTCTCAATTGTGGTTGTAAGTTGAGAACTGCCTGTATTCACTGTGAAATATCTACTAAAAAGGAACAGTTAAGAACCCAACTTGTGTATATCATGAGCAATCAATAGAAACAGAGAGAGTGATAATTAGAAAAGTAAAATTGTCACACATTTTGATACTTGAACTGCATCAGCACTTGACTCAGCAACCACCTAAGACTTAGTGACATGTCTTACTAGTAGCCACTACCCTTCTGTACATCTGTTAGAACATTTCATGGATAGAAGCGACAGCCTTCTATTATGTTATTTCATTTCTCTTTCCACCTTTCTCTACAGGGTTAAAAATTTCACATGAATAATTACCAACCTTGAACAACCACATCAGGCTTAAAAGCGGTTGAAAACCTTCTGTTTAATGGATCAATTTCACCCGTAGCCAAAAATCCCTAAAATGAAAGAAAGGAAGAAATGAAATTTCATTTGTGACAATAGTGTTACCATCTAGCACGGGGACTTCAGAAATAACAAATTCATTAAGAACTAGATCAGTTTTCCCGTAAACCATGTACAATTCTCAACTTGATGGATAAAGTCCTTGATCTGTTTTCAAAAGTCCTCAACAAGCAATTCCAACCTATAGAAATATTCTAGCTTGCTGACTGCGGAAGGAGAAGATGTCTCTGAAATGAGAGAAGCAAAGGCGGGGGCGGGGGGAAGCACAAAATGGCAGATGTGAACATTTTATGCATGAAGAAAAGGGCAGGATATCAATCTATGATCATGCCTGCCATTTTGGCTCACTTGCAGTTATGCCTAAAAAGAGGTAAGGGCAAAGGGGGAAAAAGTGTTAGAAAACAGATAGAATGAAAAGGAGCTTTACAAAAAAAAAAACCCAGACAAATTGTATAAAAGAGGACTTACCTCTGCTAGGAGGGCAGAAAGAATATACAATGACTGGCCCCAAAGATGAGGAAGTTTTCCTGCTGGAACACGATCCACTGTGTGAGGATTTTCATACTCTTCACTCGCCTGGAAGACCAATCATAGTGAATGAGCACTGATTCATGTGAATTTATGCATAACTTGAGATGTTCAGTGACCAAAATCTAGAAAGTCTCTTCTCTTTTAGCAACAGTTTATTTGGCAGTTGCAAGCAGGTTTTTGAGTGAATATCTATATGTTTACAGCACTATAATCTTTGCTTGCAATAAATGAACAAAGAAATAACATGTAAAAGTTATTTGGTAGAAGGTAGAAAATACACTAATGTATCTATGGAAAAGTTAATTCATCCACAGATTTTTTTTCCAATTTCATAGACAGCGTATGATATTCAGGCTCATATTCAATAGGGGGAAAACAGTCATTCTGAGGGCAAAATTATTCAAAGCCACAAACTGCAGTGGGGCTTCAACTCTGTTATATCCACAAAACTCACTAGATAAGTATGGATCACCTTTATAGAGAGATTATGTATAACCTATCTACAAATCAGGGAAGAGCATTTTATGTCATAAATGAATTCTTTCCAGATTAAGGCAATTTGGTAGGAAGACCTTATCTGGTGGAACTGCATACAGTTCTGGCATCAGAAGAATTCCATTCTTTTTTCTAATAAGGATCCCTTCCAAGGCTTCTCTGTATTCCTGCACCTGGGAAACACAAAAGACTTTTTATAATAGCAGGCTATTTCTAGGAGACAAAAGGGAAACAAAGTGAACAAAATAGTCAGGCATATAATCTAATAAATAAAGAACTGTATTCAAATAAAAGGGTGGGGGGGGGAACCTAAACAGTACAGAAACAACCTTATTCTGCTGAAAACATTCTAGCAGTGAGAATGTTGATCTGTTGTCAAAGAAGATTGTTTTAGCTTTATAAGCCCTCACCAATATTGAGCCAAAGAACAAATTTAAGAGAGCAAAGGGTCTGGTTCTGCAACAAAACCAGATAAGAAGCATTTCAGTGTAAGAAGGTGACATTTATGCTTGCTGCAATTAGAAAGTCAGGGCAAGAGTTGAGATTGAGGTTTCTGCTGCCTAATGTGTTAACATTTTTTCACTTGCAGAAGATTTATCTTAATTTTTTTAAGACTAGACCACCTAAATCAACTCTTTTCCAGCATACTGAGACCAGGCCTGGCCTCACTGCGGGTATGTGGGGTAGAAATGGTGTATGTCTCTGTGTGTACATGTGCACACATGCGCACACATATTTAGAGCCCATCCTTCTGCTATCCCTTCATCCAGAAAAATTCTGGCAGCAATACACTAAACACTAAAGTTGATCCAAAATATTTTATTTTACCCACCTGAATTCTGTCATCATTGAAAACTCCATCAATTAGAAAATATGTCCAGAATACAGGCCATTCACATTCTATGTTCTCAAATAACTTGAGCTCAGCAGGATCATAATGTAATCTGTTTGGATCCTAGAAATATATTAATTGCATAGTTTATTGTTACCATTTCACTTTATTGCAGAAAATATTTTGCCGCTATTAATATTAACATCCTATTAATCTCCAAGGTCCTAAGGAGTTTTGGATGGAATTTTCACCCCACATTTATATGTAAAGTAATCAAGCCTTTTTAGAACACCAAGAAACTGAGAATTCTGGAGGCCTAGTCATCTATTCCTCTAATACCAAGATGTCTGGAAAGAGAAAGAATAATGTGCATAAAGTGAGAGAAAAATAATCCTGCAATGAATTGTGTCAATAGGACAGATTTGATTTCTAGGAACATGAACTCAACAATCCAATGACTGTCAGCATACAATAAGCTGCATCTTATAGCAAATACTAAATCTTATTTCAAGTGCACAGTGAGCCTGAACAAAGGGGCTTTCAATTTAATCTGGCAGAGATAAAAACCCTGAGAAGAATATCTCACTTTAGGTTTAGGAGGAAGTGAGACTGCTGCTATGTCGAATCTATTCTACAGCAAGTTTAAGTTAAGGGCTATATCCCAGCACTCTTTGTATAGGAAATAAACAAGATAAACAGGATGTATTAAAAATAACAGGAAGAGAAAAAAATTAGCATACAGTACCTGTTGATGAAAAAATATGAATGATCAGAAGGTTAGATACTAGGAAAAGAGATTGAAGGAATGTTTAGCTTTGAAATAAAAAGGCTGAAGAGAAGATATGACAGTATTCATCAAATAATGAGTCAAAACCTGTTCTCAGAAGAGTGGCAGCTAGCTGTGGCCATCTCAAAATGATAACATGTCCATCATGACATCATAATGCAAGTTCTTCTATATTACATGCAAATGTGCCAGGAATGGAGTTTTCATCACAACATTGTGATGTATTTTATGTCATTACCATCCCTTGTCTGTTCCCATTGTTCTGAAGTGCAAGATAGAAAATAACAGCTTTAAGTTAGAGGCAGGCAAGTTCTGAATCAATATTAGAAAAACAGCTGCTTTATGTTTACCTAGAGCAGGGATCCCCAATCCTAGCCCCTGGCCCACTATCAGGCTGTTGCCTACTCAGAATTGGACCACATGAGTGGCTAGTCAGAGGGGACAACTGACCTAAAGAGTGGATTCTCTTCTCCAGATGTGTTCAAGAGGAGCCTAGGCAACTATTCCTAGTGGCTGCCTCAATTTGAATACTTGCACTGAGAAGAGGAGATGATTCAGTGGCTTCAATGGTTTCCTCACGCTACCATTTTGATATTATCCCCATCTCTCTCCCATTCCCTTTCCTAAAGCTGTTCTCAGTTCCTGGAAGTAAGTTTGGATGGTTAAGGGCAAAGCTCTGGAGAAGCTAGAAAATCATCTTCTGGAACATTGGAGGAATAAAAATGGTAATTCTGCACTGTTGATTATAATTAACAATGTAATTATAAATCTTTTAAAACTAGATATGCTAAAAGTCATGATCCAGGTCACATCTTTGTCTAGATGCAATTTAGCATCTTTCATCTTTCATTTGGCATCTTTCATTTCACTATCCTAGTATGAATATAAATTAATCTTAATTAAATTAGTGGCTCAAATATTTCATTTTTAGGGTGACCGTTTGGCGTTACAGCGGTATGGATGTGGGTTAGTGGAGCTCAGCAAAACCCAGCCAATACCCGCTTGCCAGGAGTCTGTACGAGGCCAAAGCCACCCTAGAGGAGTGGTGAAGATAGGAGGGACTCTTTGTCAATTGCAAGGAAACAGTGGTTTCCTTGCTTGATCCAAATAAACCCTCCTGAACAGCAGCAAAGATGATGGCCATTTTGGCCAGACCAAAACTGACAACCAGGACAAGAAGATTATGAGCTGGAGTGGTTTGTGAACAGTGAATTGGAACTGGGTGATATGATTTTCAACTTCTATATTAGAGACTTAATTAAACCCAAATTAAAAAATTTCTTAACAGAATGATTCCCCAAAATGCTGAGGAAGCAGCGAATTAACATATGGAGACAGACTACAGACCCAAAAGAGGGGGAAAAATTAATGGGAGACTATGAAGCTTTAAAAGATAGAAAGACCAGACTTGCAGTATTGTAAACAGTTATTTTAATTGGCTGATAATATTGTTTGACTACTGAAAGAAAAATGGATTATTTTGATAATCAGTTGTTATATCTTCTGCTTCCTTTTAATGCTGGAAGGTAGTGCTGGGATGCCACCTACTAGTGAAAAAAGATATACTACTACATGGTGGGAAAAGACCTTGATAGGAAAGGAGGATTGATAACAGAAGGGAAACAGCAGAACAAAAAGGGGAGGAAAGTGAAGGCAAACAACACCTAGAAGACCATATTTTTGATTTCTTTGGTTTTATATCTATTTGCTTTTGGCTGTTTGGGAGTAACTGGTGAGCCTTTTGAAGATTTCTAAAGCAGTATGGATTATGAACAATAAAAACTACCCTCAAAACTACACTTATCTCTGTGGATTAATGAGGCATGGGATAATCTGGGGAGTCATTCTAGATTATAAATACTATTTGACAGAACATCTCACGAGGAGAAAAAAGAAAAATTAAAAGACTTATAAATTTGGACAACTTACAGGCACAAATTGGAAGATTTTGTGAACTATAAATATTGTGGATTCTGAGGAACAGTTCTGGGACTGAGCAATTTTTTTAATATTGGCTTTTTTGGTGTTCCTGGATAATTGGGACATTGGGATTTTGGTGGATTATTGAGTAACCATTAAATTAAAGCAAAATGTTACAAGGAAAAATAAATATATTTCAAAAAGAAATACTATTGATGCTTCAATGTATTCAGGAAATTATAACAAGGAATCATAGGGAGATGAAGAAGCTGTTGCATGATACTAGATATGAGACTAGAAAACCCTCAGCAAATGACAATGAAAAATGAACAAACAATTCAGAAAATAGAGGAAAAATTAGAAGGAGCAAAGAAATAGAAGCAAATGACACAAGTAGATAAGGAAACAGAAAAAAAATTGAATTTGAAATAGAGCTGGCAAATTACTCTTTAAGAGGTCAAAATATAGAAAAGGACAAAGAGAAAGATCTCCCAGAAGTGATGAAAGAGTTATTGATGGGTGCTCTAGAGATTAGACAGCAAGAGATAGATGTGGAGGCAGATGAAATACTTAGACTAAATATGAGTGATGTAAGGGAATACAATATCCCAATGGAGGATTTTGGGATATTTATCAAAAAGCCAGTAAGAATTGAAATACTAAAAAGGGTAAAACATGATGGGTAGATATAGAATACTTCTTAATATGGGATTTTCCTTATTAAGGGTTAGAAAATAGAGGTAGAAAGTAGAAATTGGGAAAATATTATGTATACTGCTACATAATATAATACAGTATAATTATTATGTATATATAAATGTTAGAAGTTGAAAGATTGCTATCATGTATTCCTAAACAGTATTATTATTGCTATATTGTGTATAAAGTAAATTGACCCAGACAATACACTGTTCACCAGGCACTTGTGTATGTTAAAGAAAAAAACTATACATAAAATTATATATTAAAAAATCATGGTTAAATTCTCCATGCTTTTCCCATATTAAAGTTATAAATATATTTACTGGTAGTTCTTTAATATTTTCAAATCAACCATTCATAAGACTCAAGGTAGTATATACAATGTAAGATAAATAACTCCACCTCATAAAAATGACTAAAATTATTCATTCAAAATATATAAGATTGCCTCAAAATCATATTATTAAAGCTGCATAATGCGAGAATTGTAGACACCAAACATCTCTCAGGGGACAACTATAAAATAGGCTGGAAAGATCAATGGCTTAATCAGAAAAATTCAAAGCACCTAGGATCCAACAAAAAATTAAATGAAATCAAAGGATATTAAAAAAAATCACTGGGATTAAAAAAAATTACTTTCCCTGTGCAAATATGGATTTGCTTGATTCCCAAAGTTTTGAACATAGCATTTCAGAAGAATGTAGAATAAATTACAATTAGTACCAATCTGATTATGATCCATTTATAATATTGTTTATTTTCAGTCCACCACACAGTTCGTTTTACCGTTAATTCACAAGGCAGTTTGCCAAGCTGTAACTGCCTCTCCCAGAATGTCATTCCACTATCATTCTATTATCAGTGAAGAATATTTGAGGTAAGAATATTATAAATGAATGTCCATGTAGGTTCTGAATAAGCTGAATTGGATATGGGAATCAATCTCAGTTATACAACAATATTTGTTCGTTAAAATTTATTTGCCTCCTATACATATCTACCTACATACATATATGTACCTATATACCTACACCAAGAGAATTAAAATTTCTTATTTGGGCTTCATCAATCAGAATTAAGAATTCTTTTATTCAATACATTTCAGTGCAAAGCAGCTGAACTCTGTTGTATTGGAATTTTTGGCAGAGGGTGAACACTACAGAAACACATGAAAAAATATTGGACATAAATTGTAATCTACTGATTACAGCAGTGATTGTTTAGCCTTATTGCACTCTATACAGTTCTGGAATTTTTATGATTTAACTAAGCAACTGGCAACAGATTTCTCAGTATTTGTCCTTTGTTGCTTGAGTAAGAAATCAAACTCTCTAAATGAGAAAGGAGCTGTGACCCACTTCTCCTAGAAACTAACTTTCATTTTATTCGAGCCTGGTTTCAACAAGACAAATACCAGCAATGGCACTGAAATTTTAAAATAGGATTTCTCGTCCCTGTTTATTTGACCTTGCTTATTTGTTGCTAAATCTGTACTAACATATTGTAATATTCCAATGTTTTATGTTTATTTGGAAGCTAGGCACAGCCCATGTAAAACTAACATAAAGTTGTAAAGCTTAGAAAGTTTCGGCAATCCAACCTCTCTTGGTGTTTTATAGCCATCTCGGAGGAAACGACAGCAGCCATAACGTCCCTGTAAAGATATACAATGTTTATGATGCAGGAATGGTTTTATATAAACTACTATTCTTAATCATACCGAATAAGCCTTATCTGTTGGTAACAGGTAAGGTTGAATATATTACTCAAAAATAAATTAATCAAAGACTTATTTTAAGCCAAAATTAAAGACATACTTGCAACTTGGTGATAATTTCATTTTTTGTTGCATTAACAATGTTCATATCTTCTATGGCAAAGGCTGGATAAGAAATAATGGACAAAAGGCCAGCATCAATCTCTTTTGATGTGGATGCCCTCGGTAACATGGAGTATAGAATAGACTGAGCAGGACATACATAAGCAGCATTGAAAAACAAGAAAAACAAAGATTAAAAAACCATTAGTTTCATTCCAAAGTATATTATCAGATGTAGAAATATCGGTAGTGCTAGTTTGGATTCTAAATTGTTATGAAAAAGACAGTCTCCAAGAAATTATTTTCTAATACATCCATGCCCGATTTCTCAAGCAACAGCATAGGACCAGTATCAATCGACTGAAAACCATGATCATCAGAAACTTCATTCAACTATGTATGCAATTTGTAAATGTATGTACACAAACAAAATGTTAAAAAGTTATGATATTTATATAGTTACTTACCAAGCACATCTAAATTATATTAAAATAATCAAAATATCTTTACAATCCCTAAGGAATATCACAACTTCTGAACACCCCTATTGTTTGGAAACTGAAAGTTGAAAAATTTGATACGCCCTAAACTGTGCATTCCATAGAATAGAATAACAGAGTTGGAAGGGACCTTGTATATCATCTAGTCCAAGGGTGTCAAACTCAATTTCATTGAGGGCTGCATCAGGGTTGTGTTTGATCTTGGAGGGTTGGGGGTGGGCATGGCAATTACAACTCTACAGTCATGGTGGTCATGGCCATGGTAGACATTTGACACAGGCTCAAGATGCATTTTTTTCCTTTCTCTACTTTCTTTCCACAGTTCACTATAACTTTTTTCCTATCTCTTCTACCAGATATAACTGGCAAACATTTTTCATACTCCACTAAACTTTTTATTTCTAAATTTATACCCCGTTGTTTAATAGTAAATTGCTTTTCCAGGCAGAAAAGTTATTTATACTATTGTATTTTTATTATTCAACTAATAACAAAAACTAGTGTAAATAGCATGACAATACAAGACCTAACAGCAGAGGTAAATTTCCAGAATAGTAAATAGAAATGGCTGTCAATTATAGATAGTTGATTGTAGATTAAATGGACCTACAGTATGTAAAATCTGGCATTAAACTGTAGTATTAACATAGGAAGTTTTGTCATTTTTAGTTGTTGGGCTAATTCTTCCTTCTCTAATAAATTTATCTTATGTTTTAATAAGTCCATTTGTAATTTAATTTGTTTTTTTTTGGGGGGGGGGGGTCCTCTTGTAATTTCCTCTCCATCTCTTTATATTCCTGTTCAAATATCTTTCGTTATTTTTGCTCTTTACTCTTTTTTTGCCATGCATTTTTTGCCACTCCTTTTATAGACGCTTTTACTGTATCCCAATTATTTTGTGGAGATGTGTCCTCCTCTTTATTTTCTTCGAAAAAGAATTCCAGTTCTCTTTTCAATTTGAAGTTAAAATCTTCCTCTTTTAGAATTGACCTTTGAGGCGTCCTTCTAAAGGCTTTTTTTTTGCTCAGTCCAACTAAATCTAATTGTGCTGTGCTCTGCCCATAGGTTTGTTTCAATATTAATTGAATATTTAATATAAATTAATTCTGAAATATTGTTTTTCATCATCAATGCCATATCTAATCTCGACCAGGACTGTTGCCTATTAGAGTAATATGTATGGTTTTTTTTTTCCAGATTTCTTTCTCTCCCTGCATCATAGATGATAACTTCTTTCATCAAATCATAAAAAAAAATTGGTAGTTTTCTTCCTCTCTAATCTCGTATAGTCCAGTATTTTATCAACAACCGCATTAAAATCACCCAAAATACAAATTTCCTCGTATTGCAAGTCCTTAATTTTATTATATAATTTTTTGAAAAAAGTTTCTTGTGGCCCATTTGGTACATATATTACCACCAATAATATCTTTTTATTTCCCAATTCAGTTTCAACCATCAACATCTTACCGTCATTATCTCTAAAAATTTCTTTGGCTAAAATCCAACCCTTTATGTACACTGTCACCCCTCTTTTCTTTTGTACATCAAGTGCCGAAAAAAATTTCCCTTATTTTTTGTTGTCTAACAGGTATTTTTGTTTCTCTGTTATGTGTACTTTCTGTAGAGCTATTATATCAACATTTAATCTTTGTAAATTCTTAAACAATTTTTTTCTTTTCACTGAGGAGTTTATACCATTAATGTTCATCGATATCACTTCACATCTATCCCAGTTTTTATCTGTTCCTTTGTCTAGTGCTTCTTTTGATTCTAATTTCTTTAGACTCATTATCTATCCTTTCGTATTCTTCCCTATTTCCTCGTCTTCCATACCTTCTCTCTTTATTATCTAATGTATTTCCTTCTGTATTTGTTGCTTCCATACCTCTTTCTTCTGTTGTTTCTTTCTCTGGAACTGATTCTTCTGTTTCTTCTTCATTTATAAATTGTTGGTCAAAAAACTCTTCTGCTTTATCAAGTGTATCCAGCCTAAATCTTTTCTCCTGACATGCGACCATGATGCCTTCTGGCGTCAACCATCTAAAGTTCACATTGTGTTTTATCAACTTTGTTGTTAGGAAGTGTTAGGAAGTGGTTCTTAGCTCTCTTATTATTTTTGGTACTTGTTTTAAAACAGTTGTTTCCCCCCCGTATTCGATTGGCTCATCTCTCATCTTATGTAAAATTTCATCACGGATCAATTTTTTAACTAGTCAGATATGGACTTCCCTTGGGAGGTTATACCTCCTTGCATAGTTTGTCATTACTCTGTACAACTCGTCCATTTCTGTGAACATCTCTTCTTTTTCCATCCCTAACGCCTTTTCCAGTATATCCACCATCACCTCCAGCAAATCTTCCCCTTTTTCTTCCTTTAAATTTTGAAATCTTAGATAGTGGGCTGCCTTTTCTACCTCCAAAAAGATTACTGTTCTTTCCAACTCCTTATTAGCTTTTTCCAATTTACCATGTTGCAGTTAAGCGCCGCACATGCACCAACATCTCCAGACTTTCAGATGTGTGCACGTATGTGCAGGGGGGAGCTGTCTGGCAGCAGGAGCTTTGCAGCTGGCCTTCCAAGAAACAGACATGGCAGCAGCGGCAGCGACACCAGCAATAGGCAAAGTTGGGGGGAGGCATGTGACATGGACCACTGGATGCACCTGTTCCATACCATGTGGCTGCCCAGCGCATCCACAAGCTGGACCATGTGCCTCTCTCCTGCACCACTGCCTCTGGCTATTGCCACTGCAGTGGGCCAAGACAAAGTAAGGTGCAGGCGCGGAGCTTAGCTGCAACCTGGCAGCAGCCGCCTGCCCTGTCCCAGCCACATGGGATCGAGCAGGGATGTTGTTCTTTTTATTTCAATGGCTCTGAATTATATTCATTTACAGCTCGTAATGAATCCCAAACAGTTTGTGAATAGTCCAAGAGAAATCTGCCAGGCTTTTTGGAATAAGGCTCATAAGCACTTGCCTGTATCTTCTTTGAAATGCTGCCAATGACTAAATTGCCAATTAGCGGTACAAGGCCAAATGGAGCACAAAGTCAATATGGAGCTTCAGAGTTTAAACCAATCAGAACTAACAAAGCTGCTTTCTGCAAAGACTCATGTCCCTTTACTCCTCCTTTATGTCAATCATGTCCAAGCCTTACTCCCGAGTTGCCCCTTTTGTCTTAATTGTTCTTTCCTTTTGGAAGCTCTGCGCAAGCACGCACTGGGAACAGGCTCCCCCTTTCCTCTGCCTTGCTGATGTCAGATTCTGGAGACTCTGGAATCAGCATATAACTCCCAGATGACCTTGGCACCATCTGTGTGTCAGATGCAGATCCCTCATCCGAGCCTTCCCCAGACTCCAGGACTGGCCCACGTTTCTCCCCACTCCCCAACTCTGCTGCCAGCTCCACAGGCTGCCGGCAGACCACAACAGACATCTGGTGATCCACACCACGTGCCTCCCCGACTCTGCTGGCTGCTGGTGCCACCACACCTGCTTCTTGAAGGACCAGCTCCCCCTTGCGTGCGCACACCTGAAATGCTGGTAAGCACGGCTGTCCTGGAAACGGTAAGGGGCCTGCCTGCATTGCTTTGGCCCAACCAATCCCATCCCAGCAGGCAGGTGCGCAGGAGGTGGGTGCACGCTTGCATAGGCCTGGTCCACACTATCCTGGCATGCACTTACTTCCTGTGATGTGCATGCCTGCTGGGTTGGTGCGGGTCAGGCCTGTGCTCATGTGCACCTGCTGCCTCCTGTACGCATGCACACCTGTTTCCATGATAGCCGTGTGGGCTGATCCAACCACATCCGGCCCATGGGCCTTGAGTTTGACATCCCTACTTTAGTGGATCATCCGTTTTCTTTAATTTTTTTCTTGGGTAACTGCCGGAATCCTGACATATATATTGAAAGAAACTTTTTTTAAAATCTTTGACTTTTGTTGCAAGTCTTTGTTCATTTTGAACCTTTATTTTTCTTCTTTCATCTTTGCAGAGTTTGGGTAATATTCTGCCTTAGTTATGTGTCCCTTTTTCCATTTGTTGTACTTGTCCTTTTTGCCTTTCAGTTTGTCAGAGATATCTTTGTGCAACCATGCTGGTTTTTTCTTGGATTTCTTGTTTTTCTTTTTCAGTGGCATTGTGCTGGACTGGGCTTTTATGACCAAATTTTTCAGAGTTTCCTAAGCTTCTTGAGTTGTTCCCCTTTAGGATTTTCATCCAAGGAATTTTTCCCAAGCTTTCTCTGAGTTTGTTAAAATCACCTCTTTTAAAAGAGAAAATGGCAATAGATCTTAGAGACAGATTATGTAAAACTGATTATAATTAATCCTTCAGGTCACTTACCAGATGCTGGTTTCAAGTATGGAAGGCGAATTAGAGACTAAGCATTTCAGAATTCATGAAAGGAAATTTATCTTTCTCTCCTTACCCTCACCCCCCTGGGGGTGAAATTCAAAATTTTCTCCTACTGGCTCTGTGGGCTGCGGGCATGGCTTGGTATAATAGTAATAGCAACCAGGAGCGATTGGGGTGATTTTTTACCGATTCAAATGGTCCCTACCTCCTCTCCCAAGGTGGGCCGAGGTGGTTGAATTTCACCCCTGCCCCCCAATCCCTTGACTTCACATATACTATTTGGTTAAGAACTTTAAAAGAGCTTCATTACAGCCTCTTGGATATCCCAATGAAAAAGACTCATATTTACCTGACAATGTTCAACTTCATCTGGAAGCACATGAATAACTGACTTATGTCCACCTCCAACTCCAAACAGGTCCAGCTCATCAATTGCTTCCAAAGCAGCCTTCAGAAAAACATTTGTCATTTCTCATTACTAGCAAAGGAAATTTAACTCATATGCCTGTAATCCCTGAGCCTGCGTGGTGTACTGGTTAAGGCAATAGACTAGAAACTGGGAGACTATGAGTTGTAGTTCCATCTTAGGTATGAAGCTAAATAGCCTTGGGTCACTCATTCTCTCTCTAGTAAAGAAGCAATGAACATAGAAAATATAATAATAGAGTTGAAAGGGACCATTGGAGGTCTTCCAATCCAAACCCCTGTTTGAGCAGGAAATCCTAAATCATTTCAGAAAGCCTTCAGCGATGCAAAGCAAATCATTTCTAATGGCAAAGCGTTTCTGAAGAACCATAACAAGAAAACTTTAGAGACTGGCCAGGTAAATATCAGGGGTCAACGATTGACTCAAAGGTACCCCTTCCTCAAAAAAGAGTATCTCTATATAAATTTATGTAAAGGTAATTTCAATGTGGATGAATTTTTCCCATTAAGTGAGCATAGGGGTGCAACCAAATATTGAATAGTTTATACATAAACTATTAAAAATAATTAAGTATTAAGGCAGTGCTAAGCATTACAAAATAAGTTTTGCATGAGCATTTATTTTCAAATCATCAATGCAATCAGAATAATGACCATCAGAACCAATTTTGAAAGCAGTTGCACAAGCCTTGCAATCAACTCAGCTGTATTAATACAAAAGAAAGACTTCATCCATAGTCCTGTGCACTGTGAAACTAGTTTTTAATGCTTTGTAATATTAAGCATTTTCCACTATTTAATTTTAAACATTAATTTTAAAAACCCAACTTTCACAAGAACAGATCTAGAAATTATCTTGTTTTCTTCAAGGTGACTCAATTTGGTATTTTTATACCACTCCTAGTTGATATGTACTAACACAACTGCCATATAGTGAAAATAGCAGCTTTAATAAAAACAAGCCAGTTTATAATGAGGTATATTAGCATGAGGTCATCATTTAATTGTTCCTGGTCAAAAATATGAATTACAATCCCTTCAATCAGTTGCAAAAGGATCTATGGTTAGTAATACTTCTATACATCTTGGAATATTGATCTTGCAGCTAAAGATGGACAAATTCCAGTTTGTTGATTTCCCTGTCCCAAAAAACTCAGTTGGTTCTTATCCACTGGCTTGTTTGAACATATTTTACGTTCACAGCCAGAAAATTAATCAAGATCCTTATCAAATCAGTGACAAATCTATTGGTTACTACAGTACTTTTTGATTTCAAGATTACAAATAAACATGTGAATACCACGAAATAAGCTTTGTTAAGTTCAAGTCTGTAGGTATCAGTTATAAGTTTCGATCCGCTTACAAGTGGCTGTAATTATTTCTGATTTATTTAAAAAAAAAACAGAAACATTCCTACTTTTGCCATTCCAACAGAGCTTGCATTCAACTCAGGAATGCCCTGATTTGTCTTATCACCACGTTCCCACATGCCATAATCCTGAAACAAAACAAGAAAAAAAGAACAAGGACATTTTAAAAACACAGATCCAAAAATATGCAGAAACTATTAGATTATTATGAACAATATGGAGCTGCTAACCAAGTCAATTAATTTGAAAATTGTTACTTTATAGGCTCTAGTTCAAAATTATGTACATGAGTGCTTGCATGAGGAGATGAAAAATATTTCTCCTCAAAGACATTGGCTCCCCACATTCCATAAACTTTAGGATAAATGCTCTGAGAAAAGAAGAAAAAGAAAAACAAGAAAGGAAAGGAAAAAACATAGATGGAAGCAGAATCAGGGCTTCATTATGAACATCCTCAGATTATCTCTTTTCAACCAGGCTCTTCACAATGAACATGGGGTGAGTCAAGAGCTTATTTAGGAAGGCTATAAGGATTGGTTTAGCTAGGCTGACTATATGGATTTTTGTCATATATAATATAAACATTATGTAGATGATACACTGATTTTTTGCCTATCAAGACAGAGTATTGATGACTTTGTGGATCATTTGAACAACAACTGTCATCCCAACCTGAAAGTCACCATTGAGTATGAAGTAGATGACCAGTTGCCCATCCTGGATATACTGATCATACGAAGGAGTGAGGGCTCCAATAAAAGAATGGTGTATAGGAAGTCAACATGGTCTGGCCAGTATCTGAATTTCACAAGCTTTACACCAATTAAATGTAAACGTGTATTGGTAAAGGAACTATTTATATGAGCACGTTGAATTTGCACTGAGGACTGTTTAAAGGAAGAACCCGAATTTTTAACCCAAACACTCTGCTCAGTTATCCAAGGCGTTTTATTGACAGGCAGAGTAAAATAAGAGAACCAAAGCCAACAGTTCCAACTGCCAGTAAAAAGAAGGTATTTATTGAGCTGCCCTTTCAGGGAGATCAATTAGCATACCTGATGACTCTGTATGGCTGAGCTTCACATATTGCATCAAACTCAGGAGGCTACCGCTGCCCCTAATTAAGGAGGCACAACCTATCAGCACCAAAATTCATGTTTACCTATTTATTTTTAATTCTAGAGACAATTACATCGGCAGAACTGACAGGTGTTTGGTTTTCAGAATAAAGGAACATCTTCTGAAATGGGTCCAAACAGCCTTGAGTAATCCAACAACAGCAGCAAATCATGGCCATAAAATGCCTTCTTCGGCCATTAAGAGAGACTTACTATTACATTATGAGACACTTACTACTATCCAGGTGGATTAAAACTTTGCATCTAAAGTTCTATTGTGCCACAGGAACTCTTGTTTCCTACATTTTGCTGAGGCAGTTGCCATTAACCATTTGAAGCCCCCTTGTGCGTGCAGAAATGGCTTTATGTCAATCTACGCCTCCTGTGAGCATAAAGCTTGCCATTGGTTACTTTCCTGCATACATTATAGGCTTAATTAATGCTCTTGCTTGATCTTATATTTGAGGTCGATTTTAACCATGTTATTGTAATGTAGGTACTGATGAGTCAATATGAAATGCTTGCATCTACCTGTGTTTGTCTTTTGGCCGTATTGTTTAAATTATATGGATATTATTTGGAATTCTTTCATTGTTGCCTTTTGGTTTGAGAAGGAAATTAACATTTAAAGCCCTTTCTATATGCAAGATTGTATAGTTACATAGTTACCTCTTGTATTCCAGAATTGGAAAAAGATTTGTGGCGTTCTACGTTTCTGGAATTTGGACAGGAAGACCCAAAGCATGTTTCTTTCTATTTTCCTAGAACTGGGCTAAAGAGATGTCTTGAGTAAAGTAGCTAAGAACTCTCCAACTGGAGAGATTAAACAGGATAAGGAGATGGCTATCATTATTAACTTAGAAGAAAGTTTCTGACCAGGAAATTTCAAATTATACAAACTCTGGATTTGGAATGCCCATGAAAATACTTATAGCAACTTCAGACTTCCAGCTGATGTCGCAGCTCTTTCAGATGTGAGGAACAGGGTCTCTGCACTCCCACACAGAGTTCTCCCTGTTGGAGGGCTCCAAAAGGAGTTAAAGCCACCCTGTAGGGGTGATGAAGAAAAGAGCGATGCCCTGCAGTACGCAGAGATCAGCAACTCTCCTGCTAGACTCAGGGCTTCTTCCCTCTCCCTCGACAAGGAGAAGAGGCAGCCATCATGCCATGAAGCTGGGACAGCTAAGGGAACAAAGAACTGTGCAAGATGAACAGTGATTGGAGCTGGGTGAGAAGATTTCTTTTTATTTAGACCCTAACTTTAAAGAGAAAAAGAAAGAGAAAAATCAAGGAAAAGTGATTCTTAGAACTATTTTTCAAAGCAGTAAACAACCATAGAGAGAAAAATCCTAGACTTTAAAGAAAGGAACTAAGAGAGAAAAGCTAAAGACTTTTTACAACATTGGAAAATTGGACTTTTAAATTAGTCAGGCATTATTTTTGAAAGGCATTATAAAGCTGGACTATCTAACTGAATCTACTTGAATAGCTGACTTTGCTTCCATAAACTGAACTACATTTGGATTAATTAAATCTACAAGACTTGAAACAACGCTGAAACCTAAGCTGAGGGCACCATCTATTGGTGAATGAAATATATCAGACCCCTACAAGTTTAGAAAAAAAATTGATGAGAGAGAGAAACAACATTCATCTGGAGGAGAGTGGTTACTATATGATTGCTGGAGACTCTATTGTGAGAATAAGGAAGACTTTTAAGTAAGGCAAAATGACTTGATTTGCCAAAGCTTCCTGGACTACTTAAATGGAATTGATAATTCTGAGATGTAAAGAACTATGATTATTGAACTTTTTGAGGAGTAACATTGGACTGGAATATATTGTTTTTGGACTTGAGTAAGAACGGGACTTATTAAATTAAGACAAGATTCTTCATTGGCGAAAGAAGTGAAATTTCAAGAGAAATGGTGTTGATGTTTCAAAGCATTAGGGGTACTATGGAAAAGAATCACAGAGCCATAAAGTACCTAATGCAAGGCATATATGGGAAAATAGAAAATATGCTACGACTGATAATGAATGAAGATCAAAGAGTCCAGGAAAGAGAGGAGATAGCAGAAAGTACGGAAAAAAAGACAGAACAGACAAACCACCTGCATAACTGGATAGAAGCATTCCTGTCAAAAAGACAACAAATGGTCAAAATTGGGGGCGTCCTATCAAATTCTGTACCTGTCAACAGTGCTGTCCCCCAAGACAGTATTCTAGGACCAACTCTTTTCATACTCTACATACATGACCTCTGTGATCATATCAAGAGCAACTGTGTTCTCTTTGCTGATGATGTAAAGCTATTCAACACCACAGACAATACTGCTACCCTTCAAAAAGACCTTGACTGTGTATCAGAATGGTCAAACAAATGGCAACTTCAAATCTCAACAAATAAATGCTCTCTCCTACATATTGGCAAAAAAATAATAATCAGAAAATAAAATACAGGCTGAATAGTCAAGACCTTGTTGATGATCCAAACTCTGTCAAGGATATGGAGTACTCATCTCTAATGACCTAAGTGCTACAGCCCACTGTAACTACATAGCCAAAAAGGCCTTAAGAGTTGTTAAACTAATCTTATATAGCTTTTTCTCTGGTAATATTACACTAATAACTACAGCATACAAAACATTTGCTAGACCAATACTCGAATACAGCTCATCAGTCTGGAACCCACATTACGTATCTGATATTAACACAGTTGAGAAAGTCCAGAAATATTTCACAAGAAGAGTTCTCCATTCCTCTACTCGTTGCAGAATACCTTATGCCACCAGATTCAAAATTCTAGACCTAGAAAACCTAGAACTACGCCGCCTTTGGTCCGATCTAAGTATAGTATATAAAATCATACACTGCAATGTCCTACCTACAAATGAATACTTCAGCTTCAACCATAGCAACACAAGAGGAAACAATAGAAACAAACTCAAGGTTAATCATAACAAACTTGATTGCAGGAAATACGACTTCAGCAACAGAGTGGTCAATGTCTGGAATACTCTACCTGACTCTGTGGTTGCTTCCCCAAACCCCAAAAACTTTAACCTTAGACTTTCTACTATTGACCTCACCCCTTTCCTAAGAGTCTGTAGGGGGTGTGCATAAGTGCACCAATGTGCCTACCGTCCCTGTCCTATTGTTTCTTTTATTTTTATTTTTTATTTTTCTTATATGTATTCATGTATTTATAACTATGTTTTTACTTATACGTATTATTTTGTAAGCAATTGACAAAAAATAAATAAAAATAAATAAAAATAAAACCAGCAAACAAAGCAAGATGATGAGAAGAAGACGATAAAGACAATAATGACTGATGAAATAAACCAAAGGAAAAGCACTTTAAGAAATTTAAAAATGGAATCAGATAACCTGGAAGATACTTTTGAAAGGGAGATAGGGGTTTGGGTGGATACTCTGGCAGCTGAGGAGGATACAGATGGGAGATATATCCACTCTGAATTGTAAAGATACAGAGATTGATAGCGATAAAGATCCAAGAGAGGAGTGTGGGAGGCAAGCCAAAAAACGAATAAGAATTGAAGTATTAAAATGAATGAGAGATGATGGATAGAAAGGTATTATTATTATTATTATTATTATTATTATTATTATTATTATTATCATCATCATTAATATATACATATATATGTATATATATTCTTTTTTCGCACACACAGACACATGTACGTATGTAGGTACATATGTATGTATGTATGTGCATATGTATATATTTCTAATATAACAATGGCCTGATTAGAAATTTTAATAGAGGTAGAAATAAGAATACACACCCTTATATAAAGAAATAGTTCGATGGAAAGATGGAGGTTGAAAGATGGTATTATTAAGTATGTTTAAATAATAGGAAGACTGATACTTGAATGGCGTGTTGTGAATTTGAACAATCAGATAATGAAGGGCTATGCCTTAATATAAACGTGTGTATTAATACTAGACAATGATGGTGAAGCTTCTCGGCATCGAGTGCCCAAACTGCAACCCAAAACCCACTTATTTATTTTTTTTTTATAAATTTTTATTATTTTTTTAACATAAAAAACACAACAACAAAACATAAAAGTATCAGCTCCCCCATATTTTTGTACACACAGTAAGTCGGTTGGTCCATCGGTTTTGTGCATTCACCTCATAGTCACAATTACAGTTACTTTATATAATACTCTTATCAATACAAATTTATAAATCCTAGTATCGCTATTAAAGAAAAAAAAAAATTTGACTAACCCACTTATTTATTGTGAAGTGCCAACACGCAGGGGTGGGATCCAACCATTTGGTGAGTGTGCATTTTGCGCGTGTGTGCACAGCGTTTGCAAGAAATCATCAGCTGTGCCACCCGGACAGCTGACAAGGGCTGCGCATGCATGCACAGCATTTGAAAATCTTTTTCTTTCCTGCTTTTTCAACCTCAGCTGTGCCACACAAAGCAGCTGAGGTTGAAAAAGCAAGAAATAAAGAACAGCCACACTAGGTACAGATAGTGGATTTCATTTTATTCAAATAACAACAAAAAGGGACCCCCTTTCCCCTTTCAGGTGGGGTAAAGTGAGGAGGGAACTCCTGCTTAGATAAGTCCCCTTTCCCAAAAGAAACATCTCATCTCTGTCTCTCTTTCTCCCTCTTTCATCTCTTTCTCCCTCTTTCTCTCTCTCTCTCTCTTTCTCCTTTTCTCCCTCTTTCTCCCTCTCTCTCTCTCCCCCAGTTCTCTGGCTACACACACAGTTGCCTGGAGATGGAGGGAGGAGGAGGGTGAAGCCTTCTGTAGCCCTCCCCACATGGCTCCTGTACTGACACCTGTGACAGAAGGAGACCAAGAGCAGAAGCCCAAGCTTTGGATTACCACAGGTGTTAAAGTACCCACTGGAAGCGTTTCCTTAGCCACGACTGCCAGGTGAGAGAAGACGTCAGACTCTGCCCCACAAAGGGGAACAGCAGCGATCACAGACAGCCCCTCCTGGCTGGGAAGAGGGACCCTCCTCCTGTCTCCCCAACTTTTCCCCCAGCCGCTGCCTCCTCGCTTTTCCTCTCAGCTGCAGGGCTAACCAATCACCGCGAGAATGCGACTCCTCCTGTACGCAGAGAAGAGGCGCTGAGAGAGATGAGGCAGGAAGGTAGAAGGAACTTTCGGAGGGTAAAGGAGTTAAATCACAACCTTTCTCCGCACTCAAAGGGAGCCACTTCAGGTGACCCGTGGCTTTCTCTTCTGCTTAGAAATAGAAGTCTCCCTGATCAGGATTTTTTTTTGGTCTTGGAGCTAAACTAAAGAGCTTTAAATGAGACATGGGTGCGACTGGGCGGACATGGGCAGGGCCAACCAGGGCAAGGGTGATTTTAATCCTGTAGTCTGCCTAGCAGTCTCCCTAGCAAACCCGCATTGTGGCTTCTTCCTCTTGCTTCTGCGCATTGAGGAGGCCAAGCAGCAGCGAGAATGTGGAATTCCTGAGCCACAGGAAGCGGCTGCCAGCGATGCCCCCAGGCGAAGATGTTGCAAGGGGAGGCTCGATTTCCCCCCCAGGAGCCGCAAAGTGCTCGCCACCCATCTGGCATTCACCAAGCCTCCTCCTTCCCGCTGGGGGTGCGAGTGCTTCTGGCAAGGAAGAGAAGCATGGTGGGAGGAGGCTTAGCGGGTGCTAGAGGGGAAGCAAGCGCTTTGCAGCTCCTGAGGGAGGGAGCGTGGGAGATCGCGCCCTCTCTTTGCAGGCCAGGGAACACCTGGGAAGGGCTCCGATGCTGCAATTTCCCATGCGCTATCCTCTCTCTCAGTGCATATCAGTCCATCCACCGCTGTTTATCACCCCTGTTGCCAACATGGGTGTGCTGCGGACCACCTACTTTTCCTGGTGGCAGCGGCATGAGTGGGCAAGGGCCGCAGGGATATCCACTCCTCCTCTGCCAGAATCGCGCTCCAGGCGCGTCCAGCCAGTCATGCCTGCCCTCCCCCCCACCTCACGTGGAACCTGGGCCTTACCTGCAGCATTGTTAAAAGCTGCCAGGGGCGCAAGGCAAGCAGGTGGGCACAGGGGAGCAACTGGTGACAGCGCTCCTGCTAGCAAGGGCGTGGATGTCTCGGGGCTGCATGTGGGCACTGATGGCACCGACAGCAAGCAGGCCAGGAGTGGGACCAGAATACAAACAATAATTTGATGGAAAAGATCAGAGGTTGAAAGATGGTATTACCATGTATGCTTATATCATTGGCATTAAAATGGAATATTGAATAACTACTTTAAAAAAACCATGTATATTAATACTAGGATTATATAAGTTTGATTATATTATTATGATTATCATTATTGATGTCTAAATGAATTTTACCCAGGGGCCACACTGTTCATGTATTGATATTGATATATACTTAAAAATAAAAATCTAATAAAACTTGAAGAAAAAAAAGAAAAGAAAATACTTACAGCAACTTTATAGGCAGCCTCGATATAAAATACAAGATTCTGTATAAAGGCCACTTCATCAAGTGTGAAAATAATACGCAATCCTGATTAAGAAAGAACCATTATTAAGACATTTAACATAAATCACATGCAATAAAATGAACTATTCGTGTTTTTACTCCATTCAGTAGTTTATCATTCTTATAGGAAATTTCTCACATACATAAATTTTAAAATAAGCATGAGCATATAGGTGGTTTCCTTTGTATACCTTTGCAAAACAATCTGTTTACAATTCATACTTAAACCCAGTTAAAATATTTCAAAATGCAACACATAATAGATGACCTTCTCAAGGATGAGGAAGAATTTTAGACAGCTACCAGAGGCATGAATGCCAATTTATCCACTCCTGCTTATTGGGTATGGCAAAACAATAAGTCAAATATTGAAGTTAATTTTTTTCTATAACTAGCTGATATGACAACACTGAATTTTTCTTAGAAGATTCCCAAGATCACTATTATTATGACATAGCTTACCTGATGCTGTCATCTGAGCCAGGAAGAGAAGGTAAAGCGAAGTTGCATCTACTTGTAGATGTCCCCACTTGTCATCTGCAACTACTGTTCCACAAGTGGCCGTGTTATATTTGGCATGCAGGCAATCCTTGGTACTCTGAGTGTGCTTGAACTTTTCAACCTTATCTACCTAAGAAAATCAGGAAACATTCCAAAACCAGTTTTTGAACCACAAACTTTCATAAATTATGATTTTGTCATAAAATGAAATATTGTGCATGCATATGTATTCATCTTTGAATCAGTTCTATAAGCAACTGCCTGGATCAGTCTTTGCAGGGTTTTTGTCTAAATATCAGAAATGATTTGCCACTGCCTTCCTTCTAGGGTTGAGAGAAAGTAACTTTCTCAAAGACAGATATTTAATAAATAACCAGCTGGCTTTATGCTCAAGGCAGATTAAAATTTATGGTCTTCCCATTTCTAGCCTGGTATCTAAACCAGTATAGCAGACTGACTTTTTCCCATTCTTATTCAAAATATTTATCAAAATCCAAATTTAATTGAGCAGATTACTTTTGAATGGAATCATTCAGTCTAGTGTTGCAGCATATTACTGCAACAGTAATACCTTGGATTTTTTTTAAAAAACAGATTAAAGCTTACTTTCAGTCACCCTGTAATCAGATATATTTTACATCACATTGGGATAACTAGCAAAAATACAATATTTGGAATTAGCAGAGTTAGGTAGTATTCTTAATTCTCAGCTGCTAAAGAGGGATATCAATTACTCTAAATGCAGCCAATACATCATGCTTAAAATATCATGAAAACAAACCTGAGTTGATACAATTGCTAAACCAATCCATGATGGATGTTTTTATCAATGTAAACAAAATGGAGTCTTACTTAAAGAAAACAAAATGAGCTACCTAAAGAATTAATTTCAATCTAAAAATAAGCAAGGCTTCATTTCCCATTTTTATTTATCTGTCTGTCTATCTATCTATCTATCTATCTATCTATCTATCTATCTATCTATCTATCTATCTATCTTATTTTATCTTATCTTATAGTCCCTTAATCTGGGATAGAGTTGAGGCGACTAGACAGAGCTAAGCATTTACTGTAGGAAAGCATACTTTGTTATTTACTTATGTGATTTATAAATTGCATCTGTATAGTTGACACGTACTGACTGGAACTGAACAATTTTGATCAGATTTTGGAGTGGGGAGAGGAACCTTGGAACCATTTAAAGTAGTAATATAAACAGATATATTACAGCAACTTAATACATTATAATTCTTTCCCATCCCATAAAGAAGGGGGGGGGGAATCACTCTGTCAAAAATCAGCTTTTTTCCACAATTTTATAGGGACTCCAGGGCTACTAAACAGTGTTCTTCTTTACACCAAAACTCAGAGTCACTTTAATTAGATTTTATGCCACTGCTTATAAATTAGTAAAGATTAATGTTGATTTTTACCTGTCTCATCATGCATTGCAAGAGCCCCCGCATTAGTTTCACAACATTCTATGGAAGTAAAAGGAAAATCATTACTATCCAATTTAATTTTTATGAAGTATACCTACAGTATAACTAATTATAAATGTTCATGTAAAAATTGAATATCTAGATTTATGCATTTATATATAGTGTTTTGGAACTCTTCCAGTATTTTAAAAAGCTTGTCTTAGATCAGCAGTCCCTAATCTTTGCAGTTTGATGGCCCAACCAGGGAGAGAGGGGAACAGAGCCACAAGAGTGGGGGGGTCAGCATGCACAGTACACCCATGCAGCACACACACAAGTAGCCACCAACCCGCCACTTGTGCAAGTTGAGCTGCGTGTGCGCACACAAACACTCTAGCCAGTCACTCATGCAGCCCAATTCTGAATAGGTCATGGCGCAGGGGTTGGGAACCAACCTCTGTCTTAAATAACATTTGACATATTAAAGATGTGCTGTCAATTTATGATAAATTAATCAAGATATCATAGAATTTTTAAAAAGATGACACATCAAAAGCTTTAAAAGAAAGTTGTTCTTATTCAAAAATCCATGTTTATCTTTTTTCAATTCTCAAGTTTTAACATTACTCCCAAATTAACATATTTTGTAGTATATTTAAAATGAAGGACATATTTTTCATAAAAGCACTGGTACCATTTACCTATGTATATGTTTCATATATAAGGAAATAAGTGTAGTCGCAATCGGTACCTGTTCTAATTCATATGCTTTGGCTTTGTCCTCATCCCGGTCTGCATTCTTCCTGTAGGCCATCCCTAGGCCCCACACAGCCAAAATGCTATATATATTATCTCGCACCCAAGCATCCTTTTGCTCTGTGCTGGCAGAAAGTAGTCCTGTAACTGGATTCTAATTTTTTTTAAAAAAATGGGAGGAAAATAAGAAGCAATTTATTAAATAGGATATAGAGTTACTGTTCCATAATGGTTGAGGAATAAAGCTCAGAATTAGGAAGATTTTTCCCCCCAAATCTAATCTCTATAATGAAAACAGATGGCCATGGTGGGCATGCTACTATTTAATTAACTAACATATGCAAAGTCTGTTAGTAAACAATACTAGATACATTATAGGGTTACTTTAAAAAAAATAAATAAATGAAGAACGCAACACATTTTGAGATACTGACCACAAAGTCCCATTTACTTCCCTTTGGTGAACAGGAAACTTTTATACAGAATTAAGACATTCTAAGTTGCCATTTGTAAGCCTCACCAGGTTGAAGTATGAGATTGCAGGAAAATGAGCAGAACACAAATCCACTATGATAAAGGCAAGATAATTAACTGGCAATTTGTCTAAGATTTTCGGTAGATACTAGACAAACCATGACCTGTTGGGTTATCATTTCAGATAGATTTCTTTACTTAACTCCTGAATGACAGAGTTTCTAATGTACTAGAAAAGTTCTTAAAAATTCAGGGAAATATTCAGAGTTGTTACCACCTTACCTTGAAAGTAGCACAACTTGATAGATGCCATATTGCAATACAGTAGTCCAATTGGGAAGTGATCAAAGCATGACTGACATAAAGGGTTTCCCTGTCTACGTATGGCTTCATGCATATGAGATGAATTTGGGCAAAGGACATCCTGATCACAGCAGTTCAAGCAGGAGCTATGAGTCAAAGAAGGTCCCCAAATTGACTACCAGTCCTAAAGAGGGAGTAAAATCCCATTCAGGAGGAAAGAAGGAACTACTCCAAAATTAGAGAGTTGAAACTTCCATAGCTGCTCAATCTTGTCAGAGTTGAGCCTTTGTTTGTTCTTTCTCACCCAGATTCATACAGCCTTTAGATATTGAGACAAGATCTTTCCAGCATCATCTAGCTGATCATTGGCCAAGACATATACCTGGTTATTATCAACATAGTGATGATACTGCACCTCACAATACCATGTGGTCTTATAAAGATGCTAAACAGGAGGGGCAAGGGCACTGAGCCTTGAGGCACCCCAAACAGGAGAAGCCTCCAACTCCTCTCCCTCGTTAACCCCAACTCAGCCTGAATACAGAGAAAATAGATAAACCCTTAGTACACCCTGCCTCCCACTCCTAATCCCATTCCAGAAGGATACTATGATCAAAAGCCACCAAGAGATCAAAAACAGGAGTTTCAGTATAATGCCAATAGTGGCCTCCAGACAAGAAGGGTGGCACACAAATCAAATAAATACAAATCTAATAAATAAATATTGTGCATTAGTTAAAAACCAGATGCAATTCAATAAATATACTGTTCTCTGCTATACTGGTTTTTCAAATGTTAGTTGTTTTATCAGTATCCTAATTGCTTTTTGCTCCATTCTCAAGAACCCCAATAGGCGAGCAAACACTTTTCACCCAGACAGAGAAATGACGGCGACTCAAAGCTTCATGTGCTTGCAAAGAGGATGGTTTGAAACAAAGTGATTAGTTCCATTTCAAAGTGTCCCCTTTGCAAGCTTCATCTCCCTCTGGGTGAAACGTGTGCAGCAAAGTGTGCAGGCGGAGGCAAAGGAGATCCCAATGTGCTGCCCACTCTGTCCCACAATCTCTTGGCTTGCCTGAGGCTGTGCTGAACACACTCCTGTTTGGGGTGTCGGGATCTGCCTCCATCATTCACCATGCCTCTGCCTTCACCTGCTGCTGGTGCATTTGCCAATGCGCGAGCCTCCCGGGAGCCTCCCAGGAGTCAGGTAACCACATAGTACATCCGGATCATCTGTCTTCTCCCTCCCCTGCCTCTGCCTCCATGTTCGGACTTATTGGTATTTGCGCTGTGCCAAGGGGCTGGGGGACTGCGGCTGCTGCCGGACACAATTAGCCCTCTCACACTCGCTGCCTCTCATGCTGGTCATGCCCATCCCCAGGCTTATTTTCGGGGTAGGGCTTATATTAGGCCTACTCAAAAAACCCAGTCTAGAGCTAGTTTTGGGGGTGGGTCTTATTTTGGGGGAAACATGGTACAGACTACAGAAAGATCACAGAGGCCTGGCTTCCGGTTTGCCAGGCTTCGGTGACAGCAGGGATTCGCCTTCTCCGCAATCCCTGCTGTGCTAGCCGTCTTGGTGCCTCCGATCCTGACGGATCTGGAGGATAAGGCTGCCCTGTTGGGGTAGCTGAAGATAGGGGGCATCCGGACAGGGGTTGAGGGGTATCGCAGACCCCCTCCCCAGCCGGCAATAACCCCCTTTTCTCAAGGCGGTGGAGCGGCGGTCTCAATGGCCGCCACGAAGAAGCCGGCAACTGGATTAAAAATGTGCAGGAGGAGGAAGAAGGAAGTTTTAAAATGAAAGTTTTTTCTTGGCTGAACCGGGACTTTAAGGACATATCTAATACCTGGAAAATAACTATTCTTTTTGGATGCTACAATGTTTCTAATGGAGGTTCTCAGCGGCAAAGGAAAGTGTTGAAAGATAAAGTTACTCTCCCTCCCTTATGGAACTAACAAATGGACATGGAAAATCTGCTCTCTAACAGAAGGTAAAAATTTAAAGCCCTTTGTTACAAGTGGGAAGGGAGAGGCTTGGAAAAAAAAAATTATTCCAAGACTTTGTTGGAGGAGATGCTTTGAAGATAAAGAGATTAGAAGCTAACTTCAAAAAAGATTTAAAATACAGATTGGGTTTTTTTTCCCTAATTAACTTTACCCCAGGAAGAGAAACTGTAAAAGGAAGAAGTTTGTGCTTTGCCTGGACTGTTTGATGACTTTGGGATTTTGGGGAATTGTTTTAAGTTTGGAAATATTTGATTGGCTTAATAACAAGAAGAGGATACAGAAAAAGAAGAAGAAAAAGTTTATAATGGCTCTACCTCTCGATGAACTAAAAAAACAATATCTAAAAATAAGGAAAGAAGGCAAGGACGCTATGGGAGAAGCCCTTTGTTTTCTAGATATGGCGCTTGCTATGTGTCAGCAAATTAAACAACAGCTGGAAGAAGCGGAGGAAGAAGAAGTCATTTTTAATGAATTAAATAGTGTGATTAAGAAAGAAAGGAGAAAGAGAGGAGGGAAAAGGAAGGGCTTAAGACATAAAAAAATATCTATGAAAGAGAAAAATAAGATGCAAAAACAATATAATGCCAGAAAGCAAAAGGAAAGAAGAATGCAACAGAAAGGGGAAGCCAAGAAGGCAGAGGTTTGGAGAGGAGTGGGTAAAAAGTCTAGGTGGGCCAAGAAAGAAAGGGAAAAGGGGGAAAAAAGTTATAAAGGTATAAAACAAGATGGGAAAAAGAAAATCTTTTTTTAGGGACAAAGGCTAATGTATGATTCTTTTTTTAAAAAAGGGGGATTCTGCATAGTACACATGATAGTTTTGCAGCAGTTGTATTTGTATTAAAAATAGAAAATTAGAATTTTATAAGATTTAATAAAATATTAAAATATTAAGGTACAATGTTAAAATGTTTAATAATGAATGATTTTAAGTTTTAATAAAATATTAAAGGAAATGTTTAAAATATTAGTTTAATTATAGAGTTTAATGGGCTAATGTGTTGATTATTATAGTTTTATTATTGTAGTATTTGTTTTTGAAATAGTACAATGTACTAAGCAGAATCAGATTGGGACTTAGGTGTTATTTCAAATTTCAATTTAGGGGTATGATAGAAAGGCATCATACTCTGATTAGTGATTTCAGGAGAAATTATTCTTTTTTTATATTGGGAATGAGATAGATGTAAATAGAAAAATGGACAAAAGATATAAAAATATTGTCTTAAAGTATGATGAAATATATAAGTGGGGAGGAGTTATATAGAAGGTATAGAATGGTAAACAAGATAGGTAATGGTATATAAGAAGAGCATGAATTTAATTGAAGTCCATACAAAAAGAGGTAATCTGGGGCCAAGTTACTTTCTAAAAGGAAGTTTTATGTTTTTTGTACTTTATATGTGTGTGTTTGAGAATTAATAAAATCTCAGAGGAAGGCCGGATGAGAACAACTGTAAACAAGCCAGAGGAAAATATAAATGTGATGATTGAATAGCAGATAAACTAGAAAAGAAATGTGATTGAATAAGAGTAAAGAGAAATAATGTGAAATTTGTTAAAGGGAATTTACGTCTCTATATGGAAATGGGATAAATTAGAAGAATGTGATATAAAACAATGTGTTACCTGCCTTGTAAAGATTTATAATGGAAAGAGGTTTTATGTTTTTAATGTTTAATGATGTTTTGTTTTGTTTGTTTGTTGTTAAAATCAATAAAATTTGCTTAAAAAAAAAAGAAAGATCACAGAGGCCTAAGATGAAACCATACAAGTAGAGACCATATGCCATACTTTCTTTTTCAGGATCATGCCTTTTCACTCTACCCATATAAAACTTTTTCAGATGCCTCCAAAAACTTTGGAACAGATTAGTAGAACTACCCAGAAATCTATAAAGCTTCTAATTTTAACCAAAGGTAAGATCAATGTTTCTTGTAGTATGTTGGCACTTAGTCACAAACACCTATCCATACAAAACCAAAGATCAATATTTCTTTAAAAAGAGGAAAGTTGAACTTTGATCAGGCTGCAGAATCCTTTACTTTAAAAAAAAAAAATCCCAGAAGCCCTGATTAAGAGCAAAGACATAGTGATAGAGAATTAGCTGGGTTCAAGTGAACTCCCCTCCCCCCATTCTAATAAAACGCCATGAAGTTCTCATTGGCTTTGGATGCTATGCAACAGGAAAAAAACATTTTTAAATAACCTCAAATATCTTAACACAGTACATTTATTTATAGAGCCAACAAATCTAGAGAGATATACCAAATCATAACCAGTACTCACCTGTTGATTCAAAATTGTCTGTTGAACAAGTCGAGCGTAGCCATCTAGGCGGACTCCAGAATTGCTCCTGCTCCTCATTTTTAACTTCCTCACAATCCCTTACGAAACATGAAAGTGTTGTTGGGGACTGTGTGAGTTGAGCCTCTTTCTTTCTCTCTAGCATCCGTTATCACTTGTGGTTCATTCACTCATTAGCACGCAGAACTGCAATTGTTGCTGGCAACAGGCAACAGACAAAACAAACAGCAGCTATTATTAACAAGCATACCAGGTGCAGTCAAAATGATAACTTGCAACTTATATATTTCTAAATGAAAGCAAATTTACCTTTCTACATGAATAATTACCACTACTAATTACTATACCACTTATTAAAATACTACAGCTAATAGCTGCACTTGTGTGCATAAATTTCTGTCAAATAATTTATCGACATAAGGATTTAACTATTCCATCTTTATTCTAGGAATCTCAAACAGTTTGAATAGCACTTTTTTTACGTTTTTATCCTTACAAGGATCTTGGGGGGAGGGAAACGCTCTAGTAAATTTACATTTTGAATATGCTGTTGTTTGAATCAGTGCTCCCAATTTGTTTAATATATTACTACCTATAATACAGTTATGAACACAACCATGATTCTGATGAAAAGGGTGTCCCAAACAACAGTAGACAAGGGCAAATCACTGTTTGTCTTTGTTGGCAGGCAGGGTTCTCCTATAAATTTGCACTGGGAAGTTGTGAAGCAACTACAAAAGCATGACTGCTTCAAAGTTGTATTATCCTGTACTACCTTATGGCAAACTGCATCCTCCCAAGATTTTGGAGGCATTCAAAGCAGGCACATTTTCATCTAAAATGCCTCCTTAGTGGCTTCAACAGACCCAAAACAAGTGATCAAATGATTTCCATCAGCCTGATGTTAGTGACTGGGTTCACATATCATATTAATGCAGTCATGACACTAAGGAGATGTTCAGATCAAGTCAATGTCAACCATCTCAATATGCTAGCCAGCAAAAGAAACTCCTGAGACATTTTTGTTCTCCATGTGGGTACAAAAGTGGAAAAGCCAACTCTAACATCTCAAGTGCGAAAGCATAAGATAAATTTCCCTCCCCCACTCATCCTCCCATGGTCCTTTGTCCACCAATCAATTGTACCTGGATTGTTTTGATAACGATCTGTTATGTTGTGGCATCTTGGCCACTGGCCCCTCCAGCAGCCAAATCAGAGGAGAAGGAGAAAGCATGGGAGTCAGGATCAGCATCAGGGCAACCTGGGAGCTCTGAGGGGGAAGAGGGAATGGAGCTGGCAGAGAAGAGACAGAGCCTGGGCCATCCATCAGCCTTCAGATGGAGAGTCAACAGCCCCCAGGTCCGGAGGTTGATGAAGAAGAGGAGGAACAGCTGGGTCAAGTGCCTGATGCACAGCTGTGCAGAAGGCAGAGGAGAGCAGTGGAAAGCCATGGGCCAATCCTGGGGAAGGAAGAGCCACCACTACTAGCGAGGCCCCACCCTAGCTCTGGGGATAAAAGACAGGGGGCAGAGATGAATAGGTGTGACAGACAACTATTCATCTTCCGGCTGGATGGACTTGTTAGCCTGCGAGAGAAACTTTTTGTTGGGGCTGCCAGCATTCCTAATGAAGGAATCTTTTGAGTTCGGGTCAGAGGGTTTGTCATGTTTGAGGAGCTGGACCAGAACATGTTAGCTTCGGACCTTCTCAGCATTGGTGACCTGGACATGGAACTGACTCCGGCTCCAGAGGCATTCCAGAGTTTGCCTCCCAAACCACCCACACATTCCAGTGCCTTCCTTTCTCCTTCCCATTATTGTTCTGTGCTTGCAAGCAAGCTGTGTAGCGAGTCACAGTCAGTCTCCAAAGAGTAGAGGTGATATACAGATTTCATGTTTTCTGGAGCATGCCTTATAAGTGAGAATGGGAACTTTATGTTTATTACATCAAGCAAAATAGTATTAATTGAAGAAAAACCCCCACTAAATTTCTATTTGGAAGAATTTTAGATAAGGAGCCATATAATTTTCTGAATGTTTTCACTTTTTTAACTTTAGCACGAGTAATTTACAATGTGGTATGTAAATCTTGCAAGGAATACCATGATAGTTATATAATAAAATGAAAATAAAAGATAAATCACAGGATCCAGGTTTGAAGACTTGATGTATGCCTTTTCTATCTTGCATAGTCCTTCTGACTGAGTCTTGGTTGAGAATTTATGGGAAACGTAATCTAGCATGTCAGAAAGAGACCAAATCATCGTAAAATCATGAGCATTACAATTTGTATAGAATTTGATTCAGAAAGCAAAAATGACTAAAGCCTTTGTGACTTAATATTAAAACATATTACTTCATTATACATTATAGACTCTATAATGGCTCTACGATGTCCTCCAATACCGAAGTAAAAGTGATTCCAAAGCATTATGGCACATAGTTGCATAGAAACACAAATATAGGCAGCAGGACAAGGAGGGGTCCCAAGGTCATTTAGTTTGGCTCTCAGTAGATACTATTTATTAGATACTTCATCGCAAATTAACCCCTCTTCCTCATAGGTCCCAATGCGACATAGGCAGAGATGCCGACCTTACCTGCCAAAGACTGACACGGGTTCTCATTTTCCAGCTAGCGGCAATCGGCTTCTCCAAGCAATTCTGTCGGACGGAAATATTCTTCGTGTCCCGCCCTTCCCCACTTCAAAAGTAAAACCAACCCACCAGATTCTTGTCCAATGGTACAGTCGATGTTGTCCTCCAAGAATGCAATGACTAGTTTGCAAGGTTGCAGCAAGGGAGCCTTTGTAGCCGATCGCAGAATTTCGGTGGGGGGAGGGGAGGAAAGAAGGCTACTCCCCGCGGGAGCCCGCGATCCTAAACACGCTAGGCTAGGCTAATTACGTGCACGCGACACGGAGGCCTGAAAAAGGTTCCTTCCTCATTATTAGACTTAAAAGGACCCGCAGAAGCTCGAACCTGTTTCTTAAAAGGCTCGCGCTTTTAGCCGCGTCCTGAAAGATCAATAGAGAGCCTTAAAGCTTAAGATATTGGCATCGTTCTTCAGATGCAGGCTAGCGGCGGAAGATATTTTAATCGGTTAGGTACAGGCTCAGGGTAGGGGGAGAGGGCCCTTCATTTTATTTTTACTGTCATGTTAGAGGTTTCTTTATGGGGCTGTCGGGATTTGAATGGCTGCAGACCGTCTTTATGTTGCGTCAGCAGAATCCCCAGGAGCTAGTTGGTGGTTCTGAAGGTCAAAGTTGTCTGTTTTGCAGGTCGTGATTCGTTCGCATAGAGTTACAAGCTTTAAAGAGGGTTTAGAATTACTGCATTGCTAAGGATAGCTATGTTACCACTTGTAAAACAGGCGTGAATAATCCTAAAAGCATTTGGACAGACTTCAGACTGAATGTCCTTGACTAGCCGCTTCTTTAAATGCATATTTATTTAAAAATTTGTCAGCCATATTTTAACATTCTGCTGTTTGGTATTTTAGACAACAGAATCTGCAGTGACTTGAGAGATTAAAGATTGAAGTCCTTGAAAGCCAAATCATGGAATGAATTTTGAATAAGTATCATTTTTTATGGATGAAAATATTTTGAACATAGCGATACATCAATGTCATTGTGATATGTTCACCAAAACACATTATGGTATCTTACGGTAGCAGATATTTTATAATGCTTAAATATCTCTCATTTCATGCACACTGAAAAGTAGTTCAAAAGAAAAATTGTGTTTACTTTGTTTATAGGAAACAATTAAAATTAACATGGTGCAATTTATTTAGTATGATCACAAAATAGTTTATTGTGTGTGTATGTGTGTATGTAGAAATAGCTCAAAATTAAGTCAGTGTAAGAATGTTGGAAGAAATATCAATCTGGTTCAGTTCCAAGCTAGAAGACACTGGAAATATGGAGGCTGATTGGAAAAATGGTTTATTGATGAAGCAGAAGCACATGGATGGTTCTGATGCAACTGACCACATGAAATTCAGAGTGAGGGGTTTTTATACCTTCTCTTGGGTTTTGAACTTGAGTTCCTGTTCCTAAGCAAAAACATGTATTCTATTGGCTGTTGTCAGACTCCCATGGGGCCTTGTGGGGTCATGTTTGTCTGAGATAAGTTTGGTTGAAGCTTGGCTGATGCAATGTCCTTAGGAGATTGTGCAATGCAGTAAACTCTGCTGTTAGTGGGTTAATCCTATTGTGTTGTGGAGGGTCATGTCTTAATCCCAACCCTGGAGCTGGAGGTCTTTTGTTTTGTAGATAGCTGGCCCAATCTTTCTCAATGCGCACAAAATATCTGTTGGAGGCTATTAAAGACTTGAGGACTGATTTCTGTCTCCAAGAGCATGTTTTTCTATTTCTCCTTTAGGAAAATATAATATTCTGCCTTTTTAATATTTCCTAAAATATTTCATTCTTCTTTTGGCTTCCCACAAAAATAGAAAAGTAAATTCAAATATTAGGCATGGATTAACTGCAGGATGCAGTTAAGACCATCTCAGTATTAGTTGCTAAGATGGAAAATAGTACTTGATTTTCTATACTTAAAAATATTGATCCAATTTTTAAAGAGACTTTTCTCCTTCAGTCAGATATGCATTTCTTAAGATGAAAACAGGAAAAAAAAATGTTTATATTAATAAAGCTGGACACATTTCAAATGGTGGTGTTTCCTAGTATCTTGAGATGCATCCTTGGAGAGTAGAGAACTTTCTGAGATTTTGAGTAGTCCTAATAAGAATATTGCCTAGCTGTGGATTTCTTAGATTTTTCCCCAATGTCCTGGAAAATACCATATTAGTTGAACAAATATTTTTATATTCTTAAAACTGGAATATTTATATTGAATCAATGTCTCACCTAGAGTTGCCTTTGTCCAGTCCAAAGAGATGGAGGGTGGGTAGGTGGTATGGATATAAGGCATTCCTTTAGCCTTAGCTTAGGAACAGACAATTTTCCTCTGAAAATCATATAGGATTTTTTTTCCCCTATTTTTTTTGCCACCCCCTCCCCCCAAATGCTATGGAAAATATTCATGGAGTTATCTAAAGCAACTAGATTTCCTGGTGAAGCTTTTTTTAACTTTTCCAATTAGTTATCCAATCAAATATAACATGTAGCAGCTGCCTTAGAGCCTGCACTCTAACTGACAAACTAACTGACAAAGAAACACATAGATTTGAAACCAGAGATCTTTTTATTGGGAATCTTACCTGATACATATAATAAAGACTTGAAATACCTGATTGTAAATGTATTAACAGCGGCTAGGATTGTATTTGCTAAAAACTGGAAAAATGAGAAAATACCATTGCAGGAAGAAATTATTAAGAAAATATTGGAATGTGCTGAAATGAGTAGATTGATATTTGAAATTAGAGAACAAGAGGATAAACAATTCTATAAAATTTGGGACCTTTTCTATCAATGGTTGGATGATAAAATACAATAATAGAATATTTAGAATTTTAGATAATATATAAAGAGATTTTTTTTTCTTTTTTCTTTGATATCACATCTATAAAATGTCTTCAGGATGGATTTGGTATGATTATATGATTTGTTATAAAATAAATTAAATAAATTATAGTTATCTCGCAAAGTATGAATGAATAAAATCATAGTCAAATGATTGTTTAATAGTGATACTAGGGTATATAATTTCTGATTGATAATATGAGTTATTATGTAATGTAACTGTAATTGAGACTACGAAATGAATGCACAAAAACTGGTAACCAACCGACACACTGTTTGTATATTTATGAAAGAAAGCTGGATGTTTTTATGTTTTGTTTGTTTTGTTTGTCTTTAAAAACTAATAAAATTGTTTTCAAAAAAGAAAAATAGATATTTCATAGGTTTTTTTTCCAAATATTTATATCTTTTACCTTTGTATCTTTTACAATAGATTTTAAATCTGCATGCAAGGAGTAATCTTTTAGGTAGTTTTTAAACAAGGATTCAGGGAGAAATTTACCAACAGAGGTCAAGGCTGACTTCATGTGAAAATACTATCAATTTTTCAAACTATGTTGTCTTTACTCCTCTTTCCAGTTAAAAAGTATCTCTGGCAGACTGGTTGAAAACCCAGCTGTGCTACTCATAAATCGTGAATTATGTTTGCTGAAGGGTCTGTTTAAATACCATGGATCTGTTTCCACAACCATCTCTTTGGAAACTATAAATCCCAGTTCTTCTCAGATGATCAACTTCTCCTCCAGTTTCCTCCTTTTAGAAAATGTCATGATATACTGTAGCTATTACCAGAAGTATTTGTGTCAACCTTCAACCCAGACTGGTTTCATTTTAATAATGTGACAGTATTCTGTACAGAAATACTTCGTATATTTTCCCTTTATCTTCTTAAAAACCATAATTCTGCTCCCCACCTCTGTCCCAGCTGCCCCCCGAGATCAAGCTATTCATAAGGAAGTTGTAATACTGACAAGCAATAAAGCAAGCAGTTTCCATTGTTGCATAACTCATATTTACAGTTAGATGGTTTATTTAACTTTATCATTTTAAAGTTATTTACAGATATAGATACAAATGGTTTGTATACCAGAATAATAAAGCACTTCATGTTTGTTCAATAATTACAGCAAAACTTCAACAGTACACATTTATTTTTATACAAAGGAATATGACCAATTAATTAGAAATAAATATACATTTATTAGGTAACCAAAAGACAGATAGTTTTCTCTATATAAAAATATAATGTCTGTGACCACATCCTGATAAAAGGAAGTTATAATACCATGTACATTATTCAGAAAATCAGTATTTGCATCTTTTTCAGACTTTAGCTTATTTGTATCTATTTTAACATAGCATTATTGCATGATAGTTTGATTTATTTGTAACTCTGTCAAGTATGTAAAAAAACTTTTAAAACTCAATTTTGGGGTGGGGAAGAAGCAAATATGGAGTGGTTCATGTTTTGCAGCCACAAAGCTACTTTTAACATATGTTGTTAATATCTATCAATAGCATTAAAAGGGGGAAATATTGTAGAGCTTTGACCCCAAAGTTGAAGTTTTGCCCTTGTACATTAATGACTTTCTTTTGCTGACATTATGTGTAACAGTTAAAATAAACCTGTATATTACTTGGTAAAATAATGGAAAATATTTTAAAAGTCATAATGGTTCCATAAATTGCAGGCTCTTTTTTTTGGAAGTTCTTCTCAGTGAAATGCAAGACTTTTTATGGGATATATCATTGTTTTCATGAAATACATGCTTTTTAACTGAAAATTCAGGAAGCTGCACATCACTATTCTGTACATGGAAAGAAACACCATTTTTCCCCTGAGAGATATTTTCTGAAATGTAAAATTAAAAAAAATATTATGATGTAGCATTGATAAATCACTGGGCCTCAGTACTGTTTTCCTGTGATGTGATATACAACCAGTCAACTCCCAGAGAGGCCTTTCCAGGTTCTGTTTCTATAGGCTCACAATGTTGTGGAATAGATGTCATGTGGAAATTCTCAGCAATGTAAATTGGCCCCTAAATATGTCTCCAGAGATGCTATAATCATTGACATATTTCCTCTGGAAATCAAGACTTAATTGATAAGTGGGAATGAGCCTGTTTCAGTTGATAGTTGACACTGAGAACTATGACTCTGTCCCAAATAAATATAACATCTTAAGTACTAGTTAGAATGCTAATCTCACTTTCAGTATTTTTATTTATTTTTATTTATTAATTTTTTGTTCTTGACTCACAATGACTCTGAACAGTTAACCCCATGGAAAGTCCTGTATCTACTGTTTACTAAAACTAAATAGCCCGTGAAAAAAGACCATGCTTTTTCCCTGTAATATAAATGATTAATTAGGTCTGAACAGTATTTCAGAGTCAAACATGGCAAAGGCACTCCAGAGGACATGAAAGCATACATGTAGAACTTTTCTGCAACACCTTAAAGTAGGGATCTTCAAGCTTGACAGCTTTAAGACTTG